GCGTGCGCAGGCCGTCAACGATGAGCGCATGACCGTGACGGATGAGTACAGGGACTTGATCCAGCCGCTGCTAGAGAAGCATGGTGAGCTGGAGCTGCCGACGCGCCCTAAGCTGTCCAAGCAAGAGCGCGTGCTCAAGGGCCTGTACATATCCTTTTACATGGTCGCCTCCGAGCATGTGCATAGTCTCAATCCCAGCATTTGCAAGCTCTACAAGGTAATCTACATAATACTCCCATTAAAAACCAAATTTAATTTAATTTTCGCTGCAGGATTTCATTTGCCGGCATTTGGCTTCGACGGAATTGGACATATTCGAGTGGGCCATCAAGTGCGGCACCACGTTCAGCATTCTGTACGAGGCTTACACCAAGGAAGTCTTCGATGTGCTCGTGGACGAGTTCTATAAGAACAACAATCTGCGCCTCTGCGAAATATCTGCACAATGCGTGTGCGAGCTTATGGATCACTACGGCGTGGACTTCTTCATGGACCTAAATCAGTCCGTTGCGGGGCAAGGACTGGCGCCCAAATCAAAACGCCGCCTGCTGTTCACCATGCAGGATTTTGACGGCGAGGAGGACAGAAGTCAATCGCAAGGCAACGATCAGAATACGGATATAATCAGTATGATGGGCTTTTTTGTCGAAAAGGTTGTCGACAAGGGCATCCTGCTGGCCATTGTGCGCGGTCTGTGTCGCTTGGTGTTGCGCGGCCATCTGGACAATCGCACCGATGTGCTCGAGAAGCTGCTCAAGCGTTACTTTAATCCGAACACAGGTAAGCAGAAAATAATGTGAATGTGCTGTTGTCAACTCGTTCTAAATTCCTTGTCTGTTGTCTGCAGAGCCCATCATTAGCCAGGTGCTGGGCATGTTCTTTGAGAATATTGTCGCGCAAAAGCTGCAGCACTTGCTCGAACCCTGCCTGCTGCCCATCGTTTGGTCTGTGATGAACAGCAGCTACGATTCGCTGCTGCACGATGTCCTGCCCGAACATGTGACCAAGTTCTTCATTGATCTCACAGTGCAGGAGACGAGTACGCCACAGAATAACATTCACAATCGGATTGCACTCAGCTTTCTGCATTACATACACAACTACTACACGGAGCGCAAGGAGATGTGCCGCCTGTTGGCCAAGGAGCTGACCACGCTTAAGCTGAATGTGCTGAATAGTTCGCAGATGAAGGATGAGATGCACGAACTGGCCGACAAGCTGGTCAGTGTAAGTAGAAATAGCAAAAAATATGCTGACCCTCTGGTCTAATTAAATGCCTTTGCAGAGCGAACTGGAGCCGCGCATGATTAAGAACATTGTGGACTTTAAAGACATGCTCAACGGCAGCTTCAATCCGCCCGCACGCAAGCCTGATGGCAACGAAAGTGAAGCGGATGCGGAAGAGTGTGAAAGTGTGACGGCCACCACAGCGTCCACCTCGGAGTGTCCAACGCAAGTGCCTGCAGCGCCCGAAAGCGAACCACCTGCAACAGCCACAGCCATAACGGAAGCTGCAACATTAACTGAAGCAGCAACAACCGAAGGCAGCTCGACGAGAACGACGCCTACGCCTACGGTGGCAGTGGCAACGGAGCCCGTGCTGACCACTTTTGGTGCCAACAATCAAGTGGGCATTCGCTTCCTGCGGCGCTCGCTCCACAATTCCATCAGTCACTCGGATGCGGAAAGCAACTGCGGCTCCCAAACGCCAGCGCCAGATGCCGAGGCACTCGAGAAGCAGCAGCAGCAACAAGAGGAGATCAAGGAAATCAGTCGTCGAAATCTGCGCAGAGACAAAACCAAACAGCGACTGGAACAGGCAATAGCGCGTGCCTCGAAGACGCCCGAAAAGCAGCCAGCATCGCCGCCTCAAGCGCCAGAATCTGTAGAAGAAACAGATGTTGAGGTTGATGTGGAAGTGGATGTGGAAAGTGAAGCGGAAAAGGAAACGGAAGCTACTGTCGCCGCCGATGTCTCCGTGATTGCCGATAGTCCCGTTGAAGAGCAGGTAAGTTTAATTTATTAAAATTATATTTCATGCTTATCACAGCTGCTCCTTTCTTCCCCTCATGCGCAGCACTCCGACTCGGATGTGATCGTGGACTCGCCCACAGCCGCGTCGCCAGTTGCGAACACAACACAGAATGCCAGTCGCCTGCGTTTGCGCTCGATGCGCAACCGCAACGGAAACGGGACACGCAATACACCAGCGGGGAGCAGCAAAGTGAGTACCGCGCGCTTGCGCTTGCAGCTCTAGGCAAAGCCGGCAGACCCAGACCCAGATCCAGGCAGTAGCAGTAGGAGTAGATGCAGCAGTAGATACCCCCAGGGCGACGCAAGACAAACAAGAATTAAGTTTAGTTTAAAACAAGTAGCCTGTAATTATTGATTGATAACCCAAGAAAAGTTGTTTAATTTAAGCGCAAATGCGAAACGATTCGCAATTTGCAATGACTATCTAAAAAGAACACGTTTTTGAAATCAAACAACAACAAACAACATCCCACAACAAAACGCTGTTTTCTTTCTGCCCAAGCACCGCCAATACATGCTTTATATGTATGTATTTATGTTTATTTATACATAGTTGTATGGAACATTTGTAGGACTCTTAAGATATAATTAGCTATTTATTTAGCACTAGTTCGAATCCTGTTTTTGATTACGTTTTAATTTGCATTCTCTTTTGTTTTTTTTTTTCTTTCAATTTTTAATTTTGCTCGTTTTCTTTGTGTTTCTGCAGCGGAAAGTTTTACACCTCGAGATCCAAACGCCTCTGCGCAATGGGCGCAAACGCGTGCTCCGCAAGTCGCTGGCTGCAACGCCGGCGACCTCTTCGCAATCCTCCGACTCGGCTACATCCTCGAAGCGCGTCTCCCCGCTACGCAAGCAGCTGCGTCTGGATGCCAGAACGACCAGAAGACGAAGCAGTGTGGCCGCTTCGCCAGCGCCAAAGACAATGGCAGCGCCAGCCGCAAAGAGCACAGCCAGTCCCACGGACAGCAGCAGCTCGTCCATCAAGGAGAATACGCTACCGGCACCTGTACCTCCACCAGTGCCAGCTCCAAAGTCCAATCACAAAACACCACAGCGCCACAGCACCAGGCGCTCCGGATCCCAGCTGAGCAGCAGCACGCCAGTGACCAGAATAATAACGCGCCATTCGGCGCGCAGTCTGCGAATGAGCGCCATGAGCTTGGCCCGAAAACGCATGTCCCAGGAGCTAAGCATGACCGAAGGCCACCTAAAGATGTCTACACCAAAGCGCGTGCGGCAGGACAAAGCGAAGCGCAACAAGTCCACCTCCGGCGAGCGTGCCGCAGTCAACACGAGCAGTTCCCGGAGCGCCACAACGCGCACCCGTGCGGGCACAGCAGAAGCCGCAGCTGTGGCAACCCGCACCCGACGCAAATAGCTGTACCCGGCCGCCGTCCCTTTCCCCCATCCGCCTCTCTCAGTGTTTAGAATTTTGTTTTTTGTATTGTATTCGATTAAGTTCTATTTTAACATTGTGCGCGCTTTTCATGTTCATTTGACCTTTGTAAATTTTATGTATATTACGTAGTCATGTTTAAATATACTTATTTCAAATATAAATCATCATTTTAAGGATCGTCGGCTTTTCGCACACTTTGAGTGGCTAAATGAGTGCCTAAATGACCGAAATGGTCAACAGCCCCATTCCCCTCGATGGTACCCAGTTGACTCATATATCCTTGGTTATACCATACCATTGATATAGTCCTGGTGAACCTAAAGGACCAAATCCCTGAAAAATGCGCACGAAAACGGTACAGAAATATGTATGCTTTTTTGCTTTCAGCACCCCTTTTACAAAGCTGCAGCATAACATTGTGGGTACGCAATGAAATTGTAAATTTATAAAAATTTTAGTTTATCTACCTGCTGGGCATTTCTGTTCGCCTGGTGCTTCAGCCGATTTTTCGGTCAAATCTAAGCACCCAGCTGCGCCGCCGCACGCCCCGTTTGGGTATGCAATGAAATTTTTCATTCATAAAAATTTTGTGCAGCTACCTGCTGGTCATTTCTGTTCGCCTGGTATTTTTGCCAAATTTCCGATGAAACCTGACGCCCCTTGAGGCATGGGCTTTTAACAGTGGTATGTTAACTAACATAGAATTAACAGCGGCCTGTTAAATAACAGCTGCTTAACAGTGCGCTGTTAAGAAAATTGCAAGTCATCATTTTTGCAAAAAAATTTTGTGCATCTACCTGCTGGGCATTTCTGTTCGCCTGGTATTTCAGCTGAATTTCCGATCAAACCTGACGCCCCTTTGTAGCATGGGCTGTTAACAGTGGTATGTTAACTAACATAGGCTTAACATCGCCCTGTTAAATAACAGCTGCTTAACAGTGAACTGTTAAAAAACTTGCAAGTCATCATTTTTGCAAAAAATTTCTGTGCATCTACCTGCTGGGCATTTCTGTTCGCCTGGTATTTCAGCTGAATTTGGATGTGAAAAACGTGAACCAACGGCCGGGACCAGTGCAATGCCATTTTGCAGCCGTTAACTTTTAAACCTTAATTTAATTGTGCATAAAGCTTTCAAGCGGATTTTTTGCCAGGATTTGGAACTATAGGTTCTCCAGGACTCTATCAATGGTATGGTAAAACCAAGGATATATGGGTCGTCTAAGAAACATAGGGGGAGGAGGTGTGGCTGAAAGAAAAAGCATACATGCTTGTGCACCATTTCCAAGCGAATTTCGCAGGGATTTGGTCCTTTAGGTTCACCAGGAGTATATCAATGGTATAGTATAACCAAGGATATCTGGGTCATCTAGGAACCGGTTTATATTTTTTGTTCGGCCAGGAATGTGTAGTTCAGACAATTGTTTGTTTTTACAAATGAATATCCTTATTTTAAGACAAAGACAATTCGGCTATATGCTTGCAGATTTTTAGAGGATCGTGTGTTCAGTTTACAGATCATTCGATTGGAACTCAAGTTTCGCACAAGGACTAACATAGCCAAACATGCTTTTGTAAGATGTATTAATTGTTTATATGGTACTCGATCCTTTAGATCTTTTTGATTGCGTGCGAAACTGGCGATAAAGGATAACATAGTATAATTAAGAACTAGAAACATTGCATTATTAGATAAGTACATGCTGAGATTCATTCATACAATAGTAGAGGAGTATGAATTACATTAGAAACATATTTTGAGCAGTGATTGAGTTCGAGTTAGAGATGTCCTAAACACTATAGTATTAAATAATAAAGGATAATATAATATCCGAAGCGAACTTTAAATGCTTAAGATAAAATTAGAAACAAATAATAAGGCCCAAAGGATGTTGTTTCGAACAGAACAGGCACATGGTTTGCATGGTTTGTAGGTATACGTATGTATATAGCTCTATCTATATGCGCATCCTTTAGAGCTTAACTCCCTTCAGTTTGACGGCCGTGGTGTGCAGATCCCATTCCTGCTGCTGAAGCGCCTCGTACGCAGCGGACAGGCTGAGATTCGCCTCGGCGAGTATATTCTGCAGCTTAATCAGTTTGATGGACTTGTGAACATCCCAGTTGATGAACTCCAGAGCGCCCAGACAACGTGTGGGCGTGCTCTGTAAATTGAATAGAAAATAAATTATTTTAAATTAAAGAAAAGAATTTAGGATTTGACTCACGTCCTTGCCCAGCACTTTGACCATGATGCGCACTTCATCCGAATCGACGCCGCGTTCACAGCCGCGCGGCTTCTTGTCGGAAAACTCGAGCAAATCCTCACAGCTCACGGAGTTGGAGTCGGCCAGGCGAGCCGCGGTTGCAGCAAAATATTCTGCCTCCGTTTGTGGCTTGGACGCGGGCACATTGGCCAAAGGTGCCGGCGTGTTGTTCGCATCTTTGCCGTTAATGGAGTTGCGGTTCATGGCCTGGTTGACGGAAGCACGCACCTTTTTGAAGAGCGCATTGCCCGCCAACTCATTGTCCACACCGCCCAAACGCCGCGTGCTGATGCTCTCCAGAGGCGCATCTTCTGCAGCAGTGGTTGCTGCAGCCACCGCAGCTGCTGCTGCTGCTGCTGCCACCGCGGAGGCTGCCGTTGGCGCCATCTCCTGAGGAACTGCAGCGGAGTCCAATGTGGTTGAGCTGCTGCTGGCGGCCAGCGGCTTGTCCAGATTGCGCAGCTCGTCGTCGTTGACATAGAGCCCCGAGATTTGGGCAGGCTCGAAACCCACATCCTTGCTCTTGTTGTAGTGTTCTTTCTGTATGGAGAAGTTGTAGAAGCCATCGGTAACGTCCGGCGATTGGAGCACACCCTCCTTGCTCATGTCCCCCTCCAGTATGGACTCGAACTGCAACGAGGCGCTGTCCGTCAGCCCAGCCGCATCGGCAGGCGCCAGTTTGTCCAGGTTCTGGTAGGTATGCGCTGATGCTCCGCCTGCCACAGCAGGCATATTCTCATATTCTCTGGCCTCGGGCCGACGACGCACGCTACTGGAGCGCACGGCCGCCACCACCTCAATGGAACGCGCCTGCTGCTGCTGTTGCTGTTGTGGCGATGCGTCGCCGCCTTTGCTGGCCGCCTCCTCGCCAAAGTCCGCCAGCTTGCTGAGAGTGCGCTGCACGCCGTTGGCCGGGATAATGAGCGGATATTTGCGGACGTGCCGTTTGGCGCTGGTCTTCACCTGCTTTTTGCCCTCGCGTGAAGGCAGCGGCAGCGGATTCGCCTCCTGCGGCTCTGGAAACTTGTAGCTGGCGTGTGTCATGTAGCTGGGACTTTCGCAGGATTCGTTGGGGCCCAGCGAGTTGCGATTCTCATCATTTGGCCGCTCCCCGTTCGCATGCTCGGCCCGGCGCACACGCTGAGCCGCACCACGTGTGGGCAATGTCATGGGTCGCGGTGGATGCAGCTGCTGTAAGGGACGGGCGCACTCCGCAGCGGCAACAACTGGGTCCAGGGCAAGGGCAAGGGCAGCGGCAGTGCCCGGATGACTTAGCTGACTGCCCAGGCGGCGTGGCAGCGTCTTCGAGTTCATCAGCTCGAACTCGTCCGTGTCCATGTGGCGGAGCAGCGTTGCAGCCGGACTGGAGCCAATGTCCAGCATGCCCTTGCGCTCGATCAGGCTGTTGTAGGCCTCGCGACCCTCCTCGCCGATCAGTGACTGTGGATAACGCAATGGGATAGAGGAACAAATAAAAATATATGTAAATAAATAAAAATATAAAAAAATATTTAAACAATAACAGAAAGTTCTTAACATAATAGAATAAATATTAGTAAATTCGCGCCTAATACAAACAACTAACAACTGAATACAAATAATATAAATTAAATTTGATATATGTATATGTTTGTAAATAATGTTAAAGTCTTATATTTATAAGGAGTTAATGGACAATTGCTCTCTTTTTTCTTTTACTTTATTAAATCCCTTTAAATATACACAACGTTTTTGATTACCAATTGGATTTTCTGTTTGGTTCTTAGAATGCAAACTTTTAGGTATTTTATCTTTTCTCTTTTGTTTTCTTGAAATATGTATATATAATACTTGGAAAAAGTTTTGTTTTTAGAATTAGATTTTCGATTTTAGAGTTTTAATTTTAGTTTAAGTTTAATTTTAGGTTTGTTTGTGAAACGCTTCGAACGCATGCTTTAGAATATCATTTTTCGTAGTATAATATAATATTTGAGTTTTCTTTTAGATATGAATATATGAATTTGTGATTAGATTTAAGTACGATTAATCGCATGTTCGCATGTATATAAACTTTGTATATAAGTAATTTTGTGTTTGCTTCGTCTCTGGTTATCTTTATCATTAAATGCACAGAATGCGACAAATCGTTCAATTCGAACATACATTATTCGAGTATCTAGTTCTCGATTTTTAGCTCTATAAAAAAATGTAGACGCTTGAAATTGCGACAGGCGCACAACTCGGTTTACTTCGAAGTAGCAAATACTCTTTCTCTCACAATATTTTCGTACAATTCTCCACATGGTTTTATATAGTAGGTATATCAATTATATATAGTATAGTAAAAATGCAAGCGTAAGGATATGGCACATAATACACATTTGCATATGTACGAGTTTTTTCTTCTTCTTGTTTTTCGGAGAATATATATTTAGTTTATATTATGTTAGAATTCTTTTGGGATGTTGTTTTCGGTGAAGGATTGTCAACGGTAAGTGTGCGTGTGTGTGTGTGCGTGTGTGTGATGACTGTTGTTGTGTGTGTGTGTTGTTCTTTTTTTATTACCCTGTCATATATATTTGTGAGGTGTTCTCAGTGTGTCGTGTTCAATGGAATGCTAATACTGATACTCTTTTTACTTTTTACTACCTTTTCTTCATCGTGCAACGACCCTGACAACCAAGCTCTGTTTGCGGATGATAATATGAAGATGTCTGAGATCTGTAGGAAATTGTTTTTTTTGGTTGTTGCCAGCGTCGTTTCTGGAGTGCGTAGCCTTGTCTTGGAAGCTTTGTTGAGCTGAGCTTTATGCTAACTATTTTCGAGTCTTTTTGCAATTTGTGATACCCTTGCGGTGACTATTATGTATGCTCTGAGGAAGACAGCTTGGATAGCATAGGGTATCCGTCAGTCTGATTGAACCATGCTCCACTTGAACTGATCTCTCGGCAATTCAATCGTTGTGAGCCAATCGGACCACTATATAATCCAATTCCCATTGGAATTGTGCAAGGGTATTTAATCTTCGAATAGCCGAAGCTTGCTTCTTGCTTGTCATTATCGTTTTTTGAATATATTGCAACTAGTTAATATTGCTTTTATGATTATTGAGCTTTTTAGTTGTTTTACTTGTTTAATGGGGTTCCCTTTCGGCAGGGCCCTGAACTTGCTTTGGATATTGCTTATCTTTAATCTCAATTCAATTGAAATGTATCTGCATCTGCATCTGTAAACTGTAATTGTATCTGTATCTGTAATCAGATCTGTATCTGTGTAACTGTAACTGTAACTGTTTTTGTTAGCTATGCAAGTGCACATTACGCGTATTATTATCATCCGTTCTGAGAGGTCTTCCGAGGTTTCCGAATAAGGCACTCTCCCAAATATTCAAATCCAAAATATATATATGTGTATAGACTAATAAATATTGGCTGTAAATATTTCTGCAATTTACTCTTCGACACACCTGGCGACACACACACACCACACTACATCACACACACACGCACACACACACTCCACTTGGGGGGTGGGCGTGGCATTGCCCTAATCCGAGAGCACATGACCGAATAGTAAATTGAGAACATATTTCAGCATTTTCCTTAGTTATGGAGCCGGGCTGGGCGGAATGCGCGGCGCAACGAATTCACGTCGGAACTGAAACTCATCCCCGCTCTCCGTGCTAGATGAGGAGCTGCTGTCGCTAGAGTCATGCGCAGCTGTCACCAGGGGCAGCTGCTGAGGCTGTACGAGTTGCTGCTGCTGCTGCTGGAGCTGGCGCCAGTGCATCTCGTGCTGCTGCACCGCCGAGGCGTGTATCTTCTCCGGCCAGTGGAACTCTGTGGGTCGCTGCGGCTTCACTGGCAGCTGCGTCTGGGAGCTGTTGGATAGCAGTCGCTGCTGCTTCACCTCGTCCGGGGAGCTGCCCACAAAGTTGGTCGACGTGGGACTCTTGCCCGTGAGGCGACTTATGTCGAACTCGTGCAGTGTGGCGCCGCTGATGGGACGCGGCACCGCAGCCGTGGCAGTGCGATAGGTGGCCACCGCGGAGGAGGCCGCCGAGGAGGAGCCCGAGCCGGAGCTTAGCTTCTGCGATTGCGTGGGTGCCAGCAGCGTATGCTGGGCCATTTGTGCCGTGTAATTATTGCCCGGTCCGCGTCCGCCAAAATCATAGATGCGCTCATCATAGTGGAACTGCTCGTAGCCAGCGCCCGGTCGATGGAAGCTGCGCCTGTTGCCGCCCAGGTTGTAGTGCGGCGCCGACTTGATGCTGGAGTTCGAGCCATACAGCTGACGCGGCGATATGACAACCTCGCGCTCATCCTGGCAGGCGGACTGCACCTGTCGGCTGAGGCCCACGCGACGGCGACGACTCAGCGAGTTGCTGGAGCTGGCCGCAACGCGGGCGCGTATATCACACTCGGAGCGCGCCAAGCTGGGCTTGCTGGGCTCCTCGCCGCCACTGGACGAGCTGCTCGAGTCGAGAGTCATGGGATTGTAGCTGAGCCGCCGCAAGGTGCGCGCACGTATGGAGCGCGGCTTGTACGAGGCGGATCGTCTGGGTAGCGGCACCTGATGCTGCTGCAGCTGCAGGTTGACCTGCTGTTGGACCTGCTGTTGGTGCAATGGTTCCGGCCGAAAATGGCGTTGCTTGGCGTCCGACAGAACCGGCGAAATGGGCTGGAAGCTCTCATTAAAGGAGGTGGAGCGCTGGCGATAGCTCTTGGCAGCCGCTGCATACACGGAGCTGTTGCTGGCGTTCAGACAAGACTTGACGGGCGAGGCGCTGGCCAGCAGCTGCTTGGTGTGGCCATTGCCGAAGCGCTCGTAGCCGCTGCTCATGACCACCGGCGGCGCACTGTACAGCGTCGTCTCGGTCTTCATGGGAAAGTAGCTCTCCTGCGGGCTATAGCTGCTCTTCTGGCTGCTGCGACGCGACAGCGATATGTTGGTGTCCCGCGAGGCGAAGCCCGTGTCTGGCGTGCTGCTGCGCTTGTCCTCGAGCAGCTTCTGCTCCGGCTGCTGGCTGTGCAGCTGCGCCTGGTTGTGCATATACTGCAGATGCTTGTCCAGGTGACTGGTTGCCGCATTGAAATCAAACATGGTCTGCACCCCGTTGCTGTAGCTGTAGACAGCCGACTTCAGGCTGCCGGTGGCGCTGCCGATGCCATCGTCCAAGGAGCCCACCAGCTGCGGCAGCTGATCGTTCAAAATGGTGTCGTTCGAGTCGCTCTTGTCCAGCTCCGTGTACGTGTGCATAAAGTCCAGATTGAGCGCCTTCAGAGTATTCTCAATGTCCATAATATTATCATTTATGCTCTTTGGCTCGCGCTCTCGCTCTCTGGACTCCTCGCTGTTGAGCTCCCTGTTCAGCGGGCGGCTGAGTATCTCGCGTGACTTTTCGAAGAGAAAGTCGGAGCTCTCCTTGTCGAAGATGGGTATGCGCAGCTCGGAGCTGTTCTTGATCTCGCTCAAAGAGCGAAAACGCTGCTTGATGTGTGTGAGGGGAAAACGGAACGTAACGGAACGAAAGGCAAAGAAAAACGAACGAATGGGCAACCAAAACAAAGCAAAGGGAATGAACGGAGCGCGCCAACGCGAATGAAGAAGAAAGAGAGAGCAAAGTGTAGACAAAAAAGAGACTTCCAGATTAGCAACACTCCACAACTGCAACATCTAGCCTAGCTCTACGTTAATCTAACTAAATACAAAACTTAATAGCTGACTATATCTAGGCCATGCCTACCTGTATATCGGGTATGCTTTGCAGTTCCTCCGTAAAGTTCTTCTTCTTGGAGAAGGGCGAGGCATTGCCGTGTGTAGGCGTAAGCGCAGAGCCGCCAGCAGCGCCTCCTAGAACGCCACTTGACTTATCTCCGCCGCCGCCGCTGCTCAAATGCGGAAAACGAAAGCTGAACTTGCGCTTGGGACTGTGCGTGGCTGGCGTATGATCAGATACCAGATCAATCATGGATCTACATAAGAGAGAAACACCAACTTAGTTATATATACAGTGTATAGATGAGGCATCACTCACCTGGCGCTGATCTCGTTGGCAATTTCGATGGCATGATTCAGTATTTTCTCATCCTTGACCGAAATGGGCTTCACAGTGCCCGTCGATGTCTTCTTTTTGGACAACAATCCATGGCCGTGTCCATGGCCATGCTTGTTGCCATTGCTGTCGCCAGTTTTGTGGCCAAACTTGGCCGACATCTCAGCGAATTCGTTTTTTGTGTTCACATGATCAAAATCGGGCGACTTTGGCTGGCTGCCAGAGGCGCCGCTGATTGATCCAAACATTGAGTTGATCTCATCCAGCAGCGAGGGCCCAAAGTCCAGCTTATCGCCAGCGATCTCATCGTCGGATATCTCGTGATACTCGTGCGGATCGTCGGTCGTATTGCGTGAACTAGCGCGCCAGTTGGGCTCTGAGTGGATGCTCTTGCCATCGGCGCCATAGTTGTTGTTCTGTAGCGCATAGGCGAGCTGCTCCTCGTCCAGTTTGTGCGAGGCAAAGGGATTTGTGGAGCCGGCAAAGTCAAATGAGCTGTGCCCATTGCTGGGTATCAAGTTGGGCGTGTGCTCCGTGGAGGGAATAAATGTGGGATTCATTGAAGTGACACCGCCTTCGGGAAAATAACCGCTAGCCGTTTGCAGCGAATCCGGACTGGTGGGCGTCGGCGGCAGCAGTAGCGGCGTCTGCTCAATGTCCTCCGACGGCTTGTAGGGCGTCACAATCTGCTTGGGCACATGATTGTACTGCAAGAAAAAAAGAAACATATGAATCTACAAATGACGCTGATGGGCTACTGTTTGGCTTACATTCTGCGAGCTGCCGAGGAAGGCGATATCGCCAAAGGTGGCGCCATCGATGCCCACATGTCCGGTGTGCTTAAAGTCATTCTGCGGCTTCGATATCATTTCCGTGCGCAGCTTGCGCTTGCTAATGCGATGGTCGCCGACGCGACTGAAGGAATCACGATTGGAGGAGCAGGGCAGGCCCTCCAGGAATGCGACCGTGTTCGAGGGATTGAAGTATCCAGTCTTTCCAGTACCCAAAACGCCTTTCCAGAAAGGCGTGCCCGTATTGCGATCAAGCACGCTTATTATATCGCCCTGGCGATACAACAGATGATCTTTCTTCGGCTCCACGCAGTTGACGACGGCCTTGAGCTGTTCGGGCTTCATATCTGGCAGCTGTTCATAAATTTCACTAAACTTGGGCCGCTTGGCCGCATCGTCCTGCCAGCACTTCATCATCAAAGTGTAATACTCTCGGGGACAGCAGTCCGGCTGCTCGAGACGCTGATAATTCGGTGCATCGATGGCCTCCAGTATCTGCAGACCTGTAAGTGCCGCCCAGGGCTGAAAGCCATAGGAGAACATCTCCCAGAGGCAGACGCCAAAGGCCCACACATCGGAGGCGTTGGTGAACCGCAAGTAATTGATGCATTCGGGCGCACACCAGGCAATCGGCAGCTTTAGATTCACATTGAAGTTTGTCTTGTAGTAGTCCTTGCCCACGCCCAGCGCACGCGACAATCCAAAGTCCGAGATTTTCACCTTATCCTTGCTAAATACCAGAATATTTCGTGCAGCCAAATCCCTGTGTATGAGTCGCTTCTGCTCCAGATAGCGCATGCCGTTGCAGATCTGCAGCGCGAACTCACAGAGCGTGGGTATTGTGAGAAAGCTGACACGCAAACCGGAATCCTTAAGGCACTCGAGTAAGGAACGAAGATGCGCCAGTTCTGTAACAAGCATCAGCGAATCGGTTGCCAGCACCACGCCGTACAGGCGCACAATGTTCTCGTGCTCAATCGAATGCATTATCGCTGCCTCCTTGAGAAATTCCATGGGATTCGATTGCATGCGCTCGCGACATAGGCACTTGATGGCCACTTGAATCTGTGCAGCACTCAAAATTAATTACTCAATTCAACCGGAAGAAGCCCTTAAGCAGGGGGGACCCCTCCACCCGACTTACCCGCTCGCTGCCATTCGTCCAGACGCCCTGCTGCACAATGCCAAACTCCCCGATGCCCAGCTGCTTATTAACGCTAATCGAATCAGCCGGTATGATGTGCTTGTTGTTGGGCACCTTGCTGCCCGGTGAACTGCTGCCATTCCTCGTCGCTGTGGCGGTGGCTGCAGCGGCACTGGTCTCATTTGTAGTCTGCCCGCCTGCGCCATCCTCACGCTTCACAATTGTGGCGGGCGCTTGGAGCAGGCGCTTAATTTTGCTGAGGTAACTGTGGGGGAAATGCTTTTCATAGAACTTGCGCAGTCTTCGAATTTCCGGCCGCGACAGGCCAATGAAACGTAAGTCCTCATCCGCTGCATATTTAAATTGAGCTGCATTTGTTATTTTTAATTCGTTTCTGCGTGACGGAAAATTGGGGTTGTAAAAATGTAAAATGAGTCACGTGGTTGGCTGAGCTCAGTATGCAGATCACAATTTACGACAAGGCCTAACTGTTCGTTCGTATTTTTTCACTTCTGCTTAATCACAATGGCGCCCATATGCTCAAATCGATACATATACTGTGCATATCGGTATTAAATTATGGCAATTAAAAAATACCAGTTAGTAGTTCATCTCCTCTTAAAAGCTCTGTTAGCAGTTGGGAAATTTCTGACTGCTCGCATTTTACTGTGATCAGCATACCAGCCATAGTATGGTCAATTTGGGTCACACAACTCACTTGATGGCATTGTAGTACTGCTGCAGTTCGGACTCGGTAAGGAATTCATATAAATCAATTTGTGGGCACTCTGGAAGATACATATAAATATAAAAATAAATACGGCTATATAAATGCTTATTTAACTTAAGTATGCATGTGGTGTAGCAGACCAACGACCAACAGCTGCACTCCATAATATTGACTCTATTTGTTTGCGTGTGTGGTATATGGAGTGGTGCGTATGTGTGTGTGGGTGGTATGGATTTCTTCTACACCCACTAGCAAAGACGCCAACACATTCATTGGCTGCGGCGCCCTCATGTGGCAGCCTTAAAATATTTCCATTCTTTCATTTCAATATCTTTATCTTTCAGTCCCACCTCATCCAGTCCACATACAAACACACACTCACACACACACACATATATTCACGCACTAACACAAAATTCTGATTGCCGCTGCCTCAACCCGCAGCATTTGTCATTATGTCGTGTTTTTGTTTGCCTTTGTAAAGGAAACAGTGCAACACATGTATACACACATTTGTGCATGTTTGTATTTCGTGTGTACACAGATTGCCTGATAATGTCTGTTAAAAACCTCTGGATTTGCAATTTGAGTCATCAGCGCGGCATTCGACATTCATTGAGATAATAAATTCCATGGAAACTGTCCACATCCGCTTGATTGTTTGTTATTGCAATTGCAATAAGTGTGACGCATTTATTTCTTGTAAATATAGCTTTAAGGACCAACGGATTGATTGCACTGTAATTAAATCGTCATTGCTATCCCGCAGGATTTGCAGTTGTCCTTGAATTTGCAAAATAAAATCGATCGGTCAATACACACGCGTACACACACTGACACACACCGCACTCACATACGTGAACGGAAGCAATTACTACGTAGCAGACACAGTTTTTCCAGCATCGAAAACGCTTGCATTTTCAAAGATCATATTCACTTTTCACTATCCTGTGCTTTTCTTATGATTCGTTTACATTATTAGCACACTTTTTAACACATATTTGCACTTTTTAACTCAATCTTACCCATTTTATTTTTGCGTGTGCATTGTTTGGGAGTACTGCATCTTTACCAGTGTGAGCTCAAGCGTCTAAATTGAAAACACCACTTTGATTTCTTACAAAAATACCAACTCAAGAATGCACCCTTGGTATGGTCACACTTTGCTGCTAATCAACAGTGCCATTTTGAGTTTAACATGTAAACAAATATTTTGTGGTTGCAGCTGTTAAACGAAAAACAGCTGTGCACGCGCAAGTAACAACCAATTATAAACAAATATGAACTTTTGCAAATATTTTAGATAAAAACACACTTGAATTTTAAATTGAGAGCTGATCTCAATTACAATTATATACAATTGATTATAGGCAATACAACAAAGTGTGCATGAGCACAAAAAATTAAAAAAAAACAATTATAAACAAATACTATACAGAAAAACACATCTGTTTTGTTTTTTAAATTGGAAGCATATTGAGTTCATGTACATTATATATAATTGATTACTTCATGGCTTGCAATACAAATAAAACAGTGATAAGATTTAAATGTGCAATTATAAAGATTATTTTGCTAATTGCATAAAAACTGCCAACGATTACTTAAAACAAACGGAAGCCGCCTGGGAAGTAAGTGACAGCCATACGATCTATAACAGCTTTGGTATGCTCATAACCCAACGCGCTGTTGATGGCAGCCATCTCCTCGAAGAGCTCTCGTGTGCGTTTATCCTCAATCATCTTTGTCACATATTTGTACATCCGGCCGTAATGATTGTGCGCATAGGCATGCCATATGGCGAATTGGATGGCCTTGGTATCGTTCGCATCAATAAACTTTATGATATCCGTGTACACCTCGTTCAGCTCGCCCAAATGATCCTTGAGATTGTCTCCGAGCACACTCAGCTTGGCGAGTGCAATGCCCTTCTTGCTCAAGGCTTCGATGAGATTATTCTTTTGTTTGTCCATGTTGCTAAAATGTTATATTGATATGGATTGAAGCCCAGGTTTCGCTTTCATCTACTTACGTCTTGATTTTGGCCGCATCTGGGCGAGTGTCGTTCTTAATTCCATAGTAGGAAAGCAGGGCATCGGCATCAGTTTCTTTGATTACAATATCTGCAAGCTTTACAATGCGCTCCAAGGCAGAATGCTGCTTCTGCTGATCCTCCTTTGGCTTATCCACGTTGGCGTTGTCACCCTCCTTGCATGAGTTCTGCAGGGCAGCGAGGAAGGCGAACGGCAGTTGGCTCTTCAGCTCGCTCGACTCGATGTTTTGGATCATCTGCAGATGTGCCGGAAGATGCTTGGGATGTGCGGCGATAACCTCGTTGTATATTTTTTCAGCCTTCTCCAGTTCTAAAAATATACGCAAAGTGAAGAGATATACGTTAAGACCTCCATTGGTGTCCTGTACTTACCACACTTGCCAATGTGAGAGCATTGGAAATCTCGCAGGCTCTCGGCATAGTCGTCGGCGCTGGTCTTGCCCTTTTGGGGAGAACTGGGCGCACCACCGCCTCCGTTGGCGGGCGCTTCGCTCTGCAGTGTGACACCATCACCGCCAGCTGAATTTGCAGCGCTTGTTGCTCCCTGGGGCGTGGCTGCTGCCTTCGGTTTGGCTCCATTGGCGGTGACAGCGGCGGCCGCCGCCGGGCTGGCATTGTTAGCAGCAGCTCCATTGGCGGCGCCATTTGCGGTTGATTTCTTTTCGGCCGGATTCAGTATGTAGGTGAAGGGATGCAGGGCAATACGACGGCCGCCCTCATCTTTCGGAAAGATTAGATTGCCGGCCAGCCAGGCGCATTGCGCCGGCAAATTTGCCTTTGTGAGCTTCTCTTGAGCAATGGGTGCAATATAGAGCATTTTGGTGGTCTCGCGCACCTTGGCAGATGTAATTTTGCGGCCACTGACAATGCACTGATTGTAGCTGTCGTAAAAGTCGAACGAGAGCATATTGGCTAACTTGTAGGCCGCAATAAGATTGGCCTCCGAGATTTTCTCGAGCAACTCACGCTTCTCGTGACGCACCTGCAGCCTTACCGTGTACTCGCCCTTCTCCAGCTTCGTAAAGAAGGTGTGGGAGTGCGCGTCGCCGGTGGCTACCAGCGTTTTGTTCACATCGAAAAGCATCCACATCTGCGACTCAAATTCGGCTTCATACAGCAAATCGTTAAACAGTGGCGCATACAACGCCACTTCCGCTGCCTTCGCTACATTTAGATTGTAGACGAGAATATTTTGATAGACCTGCCTACCCTCCGGTATGACGTCGCGGGTCGCGCTCAATGGCGAAATCTTTGCCTCGGTGGGTTTGAGCACAACTGCGGCATTCTTGAGCTGCAGCAGCGGTTGAATCTCCTCCGCCACCAACGCTCCAATCTCCAGCTTGTGTATGCCACGACCAGCGTGCATGACATCTAAAGTTAGCATAAAACATATAATTTAAAATCAATTTAACACTCGGTTCTGGGACCATATTTACATGCGTTGGGATTTAGAGCAGCTACGCCGTGAAACTCGAGGCTGTACTTCAAATGGCTTTGCCCATGATTGGACCAGTACTTGGCTATGCACAACTCCAGTATCCTGTTGGCCTGCAAGTAAGGGAGAATTTGAATAATTTGACGATCTTTAATTGCTGCTCAATTCACCTTAACGCGGAAGGTGGCCGTGGCCTCAAATTCCGAATTGACGCCAATTATCTTCATGGTTTCCAGCTTGCGGCACGATTGATTCGGCAGCAGCTGATTTGTGTGCAAGAAGAACTTGCCAATGTCGTTGCCCCGATTGGGATCCGTTATGCGCAGGCGAAGCACTAGAAGGTAAACAAAGTTTTATGAGTTCATTAAAGTATGGGTATGCATGGGTACACACCTGCCCAGGTGGCCTTGTCCGGCACTTGAATAAAGTCCCTTTGAATGGTATTGGGCTGAAACTCAACGCTCTTGTCGGCCCTATTTGAGGCAGGCTCATAGATGGGCGTATTTTGGTTATCTTCTAGCACATGGGGCTGCACCACTGTAACGGGTATCTCAAACAATGAACCCTTCTGTACGTTTTCCGTGTCGTAGGCACGAACACTGCATGTGTGGAGATCGTTAAAATTAAAATATGCAATTATAGATAGCAAAAGCGGCAGCTACATACACGGCACTGTGCACGCCTGGCTGCAAGCTAGTCGGATCAATTCTGACCACAATAGAACGTACGCCGTAGCTGAGGTCCAGGAAAGAACCGCACTGCACCCATGGCTGCGAGGGCAAGAGGCTTAGACGCACATTGAAATTGAATTTTTCCTTGGGATCTGCAGGTATTGCTCACAGTTATAAGAAGATGAATTTGAAGATCACTTCAATATACAACTTACCCACTTCCTTGTCATTAAAAAAGACGGGCTCAATGTTGACGTTAAAGTCAACGAACTTGCGCTGCACGCCTTCGCGCAGATGAATGCCCTTGGCTTGGTTGGTGCCCACGCGCACAGAGAAGCTGCAGCGAGGAGAGGTGAGAACTATAGATGATACCAATGACCGGAGCTAACACTACTCACCGCAGCATGTTGTCCTTGGACTGGCGATGCTCAAGCAAATGGTCGAATGCCTTCTCCACGTTAAGCAGTCCATGGCCCTGTGCGTAGGGATCCACATAGCCCAGTTTGGTAGCCGTCACGCTAATGGCGCGCTTAATACTATAGGGCGAATACTCAATGTTCTGCTGCTTCAGGCCAGAGATGAGCAAAGCCACTGCACCGGCAACGTGTGGTGCCGCCATGCTTGTGCCATTCATCAGCTGCGACTTACTCATGGTAAACTGTGGCACGGATGTAATGGCGCCGCCGGGCGCGCACACCGTCACACCCTGTCCGCCATCGATGCAGGGATCACGTGATGTCCATGTGTATACGTTGCCGGGGAGCTTCTCACGCATCGCATACTCTGCCTCCATCATCTGCGGCGAGACATAGGCTCCCACACCTATCACACTGGGTTGACTGATGTCGGGCGGAGTGCCGACGGTGCTGAGCGCCGGTCCATGATTTCCCGCTGAGGCAACCCAGATGACGCCATACTTATTGACAATCTCGTTCATCAGCTCACCGATACGGCTGCAAAGACATAGTGTATAACAGTTAAAAAGTGCCAAGAATCCAAAGATCTTATAACGCTGACACGTTTATTTTATCAACCCAAACAAAAATGAGTGTTTATTGGAGCATGTTTATCGAGTAAAAAATTTCGCAGCGAGACAAAAGTAAACATAGACAACTGCTTGTATCGAGACGTATTTGTGTAATGTAATACGTGTGGGATTGGATAGTTTGTAGGGATGCGGGCTTGGGTATGTCATTCGAATTACCTCGGAGCACTAATCTTGATTCTTCTGCGCTTTTTATCGACAGACGAACTGAGTTCTTCAAAGTCGCTAAAATCACAATTGTAATGCTCTCTCGCACAGTGCACAATCATAATGCTAGAATCTGCTACATAGTAGCTGGTGCTTACCCGGAGTTCGACCAGTTTGAGTGCTCGCCGTAGCTCATGTTGATCACATCAATGCGCCGGCCCTCGCGGCACAGCTCCATGACCTTCGTTATGCCGCGCACGAGCGCAGTGCCCGTCTCCATTGAACCCAAACGGCCGTCGCCAATGGTAATGGATACAATCTTGGCATTGGGCGCCACACCATCAATGTCCCTGGACTTGTGATTGCCACTGGCAATCGAAGCTACGTGCGTGCCATGTGGCGCTACATGGATACAAATATAGACATGTAGCTATTGATGGAGCAAGTTGTCTATTAAATTTTTGTACTTACAGCACATGCCCACTACTTCTAGCACGTTGCCATCGTCATGGACATTCACCGAAATCGAGAGGAAATCGTCGACATTTTTGGTCTCATGTGTCTTGGTGTATTCGCCAATCCGCAGTGCCTTCTCCAAGTTGCCCTGTTCTGTTGTATCTATGATGGTCAGCCAACCATCTTCGGTTGGAAAGAGCACGCAGTCAAAGGAGGTCTTGACCTCGTTGTATAGCTTCTCGTAAGTGTTTAGCATTTCCAACTCAAAATCTAGATTCTCCTTAATTATCTTTTTGTCCCAGGGCAGCTTGGGCGTTTCTCCTGCGAAATAGACAATAGCGTTAAGCGTGAATCAGTCGAATTGCCTATGACTTACCTGGATTTTGAGATTCAAATTCAACTATCTTGCGGCTGGCATTAGCTGTGGCCATCTTGTGTGGCTTGTCCCAGTTCTTCAGCTTTGCTTGAGCAACAATGTTGTCGCGCACTTTTGCTGGCACCAAATCATTAAAGCTCTTCAGGCCCACCCGCACAGCGCGTTCCTTGTCTGTGTTGAGGGCCAACAGCTCCGCACTGAGCTTTAGCGAGCGACCTGACAGACCCTTGAAGGTGCCCTTCTCACTCGGTGTCACCTTCTTGCTCATGTCCACATCGCCGCAGCCCGAGCAATCGAAGCGCTCAATAACTTTCAGCGTTTTGCCATCGCAAAGCGTCTACAAAAGAAGTGGTTAAGAAATGAAAAGGGTATAAGAGAACTCATGACTGGCGGGAACTTACTTCAAGTCCGGTTGCCCGTGGATCTACCCCGGAATCGAAGATAGCTATTGTTACATCTCGGCCATCGTAGTCCGGATACTTTTGCAAAAAGTTCAGCACGCCCGTCTCCGTTTTCGGTACCTGGCGAAATTGAGAAGTTACTTTTTTTATGCAAAGTCTATACTTATATGTATGTATACATACCAATGCACCCGTGGGAAACGATGACTCGACAATGCCGCTTAAATCGCTTGCCATATTTTCTAATATTTTTTGTTCGCTGTTCTTGTCGTTTTTAATATTATTTTGATTAGCCTTCTTTTGGGTTTTATTGCAACGCACCTCAAAAATGATATCCTTCTGATCACGTGTTTGGTATGTCGATTGTTGTCTGCGTTCTAGCTTCGTTGCACCTTTAATAAAATGATTTTGCGGTAATTCGTCTTCTCCTTTGCATACGTATGTATATTTGAGGGGGTGTGGCGTTGCCACACTTCACATGTTTCAGCTGCTCTGTTAACAGTGTAGCAACGCCTGCTAAGTTATTTATCGAAATGTAAATGTTTTTCTTATGCAGCGAATTAAAAAGTTGGTAGCAAAAGAGAAAACACTAACATAATACTAACATCTTATGACAACATATAAAAAACCATAAAATGTGTTACACACTGACTTTAATTTCATGCAAAAGCTCTTACGATTTCTGTTAGGGTATATCGATACATCGATAGCCGACCGACCATAACAGCTGTCTGTCTCCGTCATTTGGCCGTGTTTTTTTGTGGCAAAATATCATAATAATTTTAGTGTCTCAGTCAAAATGTGGTTTGAAATCATACCTAGCGCGGCTATCATCACCGTGGCTCTCTCTGTGCCCATATACGCAATGTACGGTCTGCAGAAGCTGACACTGGGCAATGTAAGTGTCTGTTGCAGCAAAACAAAATTCTTATATAATATTCTCCGTTGATTGGGCACCAAACACAATTTATTAAACATGATTTAAACGCGTCACCAAAGTTGCCAAACGCATTGAAATTCTACTAAAACTTAAGCACACTTTCAACTGTTATGCTTAATGTATTTGTAATTTATATGTAGGCCTATCGCCGCAACATGGATGAACGATTCGACCGTGTTATGTACCAGCGCGATTTCCGACTGACCAACAATCCCTACATTATGAACGTAAGTGATATCTCTAATTTTAGTTTCCTATGCATGCCAACTATTATCGACCTGTTTCATTTGTTTAACTATGTTGATCGAGTTTCAGTTCATTATTTTTAACATGTCACGTTCTTCATATAATCCTTATCATTCATTTCTTTATGCCATATTCAAAAATTGTCCATGCCTATGTTTCCTCATTTAACCCTTACGTTGCACGAATTTCCTAACCAACCTCATAAGCTTCTCTTCAAATTATCAAAAATTGAGAATTCGTCTCATTATTTTACAGGGTCTCCATGCTATTCCAGATGAGTCTAAAAAATAAATGTAACGTAGTTGAAATTCTGTTAAGCTTAAGTGCAAGAAGTGAATAAATTTACAGTACGAAATTGAAAAGTTATATCTTCTAGTTAGGGTTTGTTTACAGGTCGCTCGATTGGTAGTTTCGTAGAATCTTGGGCTTATTACCGATTCTCAAGCGCATTTCTTTACAGGGCCTGGAAGAGATTGAGGACGAAGAAGAAGAGAAGAAGCAGGAAGAGAAGAAAGAGGAGAAGAAGGAGGAGAAGAAGACTAAAACTCAAGAGTAGTAAAAAAATTAGTTGAGTGTTTCAAATGATTTGTGACCTAAGGTAGATTGTAAACAACTAGAATAAACTCGAGGTTTGCCGCGCAACAAACAACCCTGTTCTTGTGCTTGTATGGAAAACCACCCCTATGGGGACGCTTCCCCCAATTGGGTTGTCAACTTTTGTGGTATTCTGAAAAAGGCGTCGACAGAGGCGAGTGCAGAGCGCACAGTACGGCGTATAGAGTTCGATGAGCCTATATTTTTACTATCAAGTGCCGCCAGCATCTCAAAAAAGTGCTTTGATATTTCTCAGAAAATAAAATAAATAGTAAACTTAAAAAATGCGTGAAATCTTGTTGAAGGGCGCCTAAAAGACGACCGTTACAATTTCGGCAGAGCGAAGCAAACAAAACGCAAAACGAAAGCTTCCTCCATAAGTATTTACATATAGAGACACATACCAAAAGGGGAGGCAGCCATGGCGGTCGGGTTGGGGGCTGTCAGGGTTGGGGCCAGCGGTGGCCAAACTTTTATCTCTGTGCTTGTTGTTGTTGTTGCCGTTGGTATTTGCGTGTTATTGTTTACATGCGAAGCGAATGCCAACTCACTGAACGCCATCGACACGGAAGAGCCGGCGCGACGCCACCACCAGCGACACCACAACGACTACGAGCGCGACCGCGAGCGGGAGCGGGAGGAGAAGGGCTATTGTGCTCCGTATAATGGCAAAGTGTGCAAGCAGTTCATTAGTGGCCCCGTGTGGTACAGTCTGGAGGATCCAACTGGCGGCTGGCACAACGAGCAGATCACCACAGCGCTCTGGGAGGAGCTAATTGTCGACCTGACGGGCCTGTGCCGCGAGGCAGCTGAGGTAGTATCACATGCCTTCACACATCTTAAATAAACTAACTTCTCTTGCCTTCCAGAAAATGCTTTGTGCTTATGCGTTTCCACGCTGCCATGTCGAGAACGGACGCACCATCAAGGCGCCGCTCTGCTTTGAGGATTGCCAGGCCACGCACCTGCAGTTCTGCTACAACGACTGGGTACTGATTGAGGAGAAGAGGGAGCGCAACATGTTCCTCAAGAGTCGGGCTCACTTCAGGCTACCCAACTGCACGGCGCTGCCGCATTATGATGCCAGCATGCGGCGTTCCAGCTGCTCCTACATAGGCCTCGCCGAAATCAAGGAGTCGGAGGTCAGCTGTGAGTATAAACAGCCACGGATTCGTGCGTCACAGGCACTAATCTTGCGTCCCCATAGATGACTGTCGCAACGGCAACGGGCGCTACTATCTGGGCACTATGAATGTAACCAAGTCGGGCATTCCCTGCCAGCGCTGGGATACACAGCATCCGCACAAGCACATACAACCGCCGCTGGTCTTTGCACAGCTAACCGAGGGCGAGAACTACTGTCGAAATGCCGGCGGCGAGGAGCCGGCACCTTGGTGCTACACCCTGGACGAATCTGTGCGCTGGCAACACTGCGATATACCCCTTTGCCGTAGGTGTACTTTCGATATCCAATCCATAGCTAATTCTAAGTGCATTCCTTTCACTTGCAGCTGACTATGTGGATCCCAATGCCAAGGATCTGAACACACCCATTAAAATGGAGGAGTTTTTTACGCCCTCGATGATATTCCTGCTGGCAGGCATCGGCTTCATTGGCATTGTAGCATTGCATCTGATCATATTACTGGCTTACAAGCTGTCCAAGCACAAGGATTACTCGCAGCCGTCGCAGGCAGCGCACGGGGAATGCGGCGCCTCCGTGCGCGGTGACTGCAATCTGTCCGCCAGTCGGGAGACCCTCGGGTCGACGGGCTTTGCTCCCACTAGCCTCAAGTGCGGCACCATACGCAGCACTGCGACCATACACAGCAATTGCGTCATGCTGACGACCACAGCAGCGGTGCAGGAGCCCAAGACAAAGCTAAATGCACGCCTGGAGAAGCTGGAGTATCCACGCGGCGAGATTGTCTACGTACGCTCGCTGGGCCAGGGCGCCTTTGGGCGCGTCTTTCAGGCCAAGGCACCGGGTCTGGTGCCGGGCAACGAAGACCTGCTGGTGGCCGTCAAGATGCTGAAGGATGAAGCCAGCGAACAAATGCAAACGGACTTTGAGCGCGAGGCCTGCCTGCTGGCCGAGTTCGATCATTCCAACATTGTCAAGCTGCTGGGGGTCTGTGCCCTGGGCCGACCCATGTGTCTGCTGTTCGAGTACATGTCGCCAGGGGATTTGAGCGAATTCCTGCGCGCCTGCTCGCCGTATGCGACTCATCAGGTGCAGCAACGCAATCGGCAAGAGCTGGATGAGCTGCAGCTGCTTCACATGGCCTCGGATGTGGCCTCCGGCATGCTGTACCTGGCCGAGCGCAAGTTTGTGCATCGCGACTTGGCCACGCGCAACTGCCTCATCAATGAGCACATGACCGTCAAGATAGCGGACTTCGGACTCTCGCACAAGATCTATCTGCAGGACTATTACAAGGGCGATGAGAACGATGTCATACCCATACGCTGGATGCCCATTGAGAGCATTCTGTACAACAAGTTCTCGCTGGAGTCGGACGTGTGGGCTTTCGGTATCTGCCTCTGGGAGATCTTTTCCTTTGCTCTGCAGCCCTACTTTGGCCTAACGCACGCCGAGGTCATCAAGTACATCAAGGAGGGCAACGTGCTCGGCTGCCCGGACAACACACCGCTCTCCGTTTACGCTCTGATGCGACGCTGCTGGAACAGCAAGCCCAGCGAACGGCCTGGCTTCGCGGAAATCAATCACTGCATCCAGCACAGCATTGCTGAGAGCGAGTGCAAGGCGATGCTCTAGGATGTCCACCAGCAAAGATAAATCGAAATTATTCCGTCACTGTTTCAGACATTCTCAACGAATCCGTATCCGTAATCCAAATGCTCTCCAAGCTGTCTTCCGGAGCAGACGCACAAATTACATAGTCTTAGTCATTTATCTTTTTTTTTATATTCTTTGGAACTATTCCTGAGAAGTTTACTTTTGTATCTGTAATTTTCAAAGCTGTTTCCTCTTGATTTCATTTCTGACGTTATCCTTTGCTAGTTATTTAATGGCACTTCGTAGCTCTACTTGCAAATATTATAATTACCATGATAATTTATGATATAGTATTGATGATTATTATCATTATGATATTACTTTCTACAACGAATGCATCAAGTCAGCCATTTTATTGGTACTCGTACTCATATCTAGTCCGTAGACAAAATATGTTTAATTAACTGCAAACTTATATACATACATATATATATATACACACATATATATATATATAGATTGAATTCCAATCGGTTTTTATTAGACTTAAGCTCAAGTGCACCGGTGAGCCGGTGTGCTATAGTCGGTATTTATCACTAGGGAGCGGTCCGTACTGCCCACTCTTGAAAACGAATCACAACAAACACCGAAGACCATCAAACAATAAGGAATATGATATATATAAAATATTTAGAGAACTGTCTACAGCCTCAATTTCTTAGGACATTTACATAATAATCTTTGTAACTGAAATGTTGATGTAATTTGTATAATATATACCTTTCATAATCAAAAACAAAAGCACCCCTTCCTTTCATTCTATCAGCAATAATAGCTGTCGTAATAGTCATAGTCATAGGGATATGCACGGCGACATGGATATGACACAGGAACGGGCACCGGCAGAACGCCGAGTCCTATGCCACCGTAGCCATAGGGTCGATAGCCGCCATAGCCATAGCCGCCGTATGGTCGCCCATAGCCACCTCTTGGTGGTCCTCCAAAGCCTCCTCTTGGTGGTCCTCCAAAGCCGCCAGGCCGTCCGCCTCCAAAGCCGCCAGGTCTTCCTCCTCCAAAGCCGCCAGGTCTTCCACCGCCACGCCCGCCGCCGAAGCCGCCGCCACGACCTCCGCCGCCGTGTCCTCCACCACCGTGTCCGCCGCCACCGCCGTGTCCTCCACCGCCACCGCCTCCTCCTCCTCGCGCTAACGTCATCTCCAGCGCATTGAGGAGCAATGCGAACAGCAGCAATATCCACAATTTCGACATTTTTCTAACTGTTCCTACGCGTTTCGTTTTCGTACTACGACTAAAATCATTTCTCTTAATTTGTGGATGGGCAAGTTCTAGATGCATATACGATATTAATTAGAGTATTCATAATAATTGGCATTACCGAGCGGGGAGTGAACTCTTCTGGCTAGGAATCACCCATATCGTGCTCAAATATTAAATTTCGCATATTTATATTTGTTTCGCAAAGCAAAACAGAGCTCTACTTTGCGATATCACAGCAACCTAAGGCCTAAAATCTATACAATAGATTCAATATATGATACTTAAACAATCAGTTATATATATATATAAATATATATAGAAAGGCGTTGAATCAGTGCAGTTTGGGGCAGTTGGTGTTTTTGCTGATCACCAGTCGCTCCGGATCGAGGGACAGTCGCTTGAGCACATCGTAGATTTTCTCGCGAATCTCCACAACAAAGTCCGTGTCGCGTCCCAGTATCCAGATTTGATCGGCATAGCCGAGGGAGCCGATGCTGCCGCAAGACCACAATATGGCATAGTTATCGTAGTCCGTATAGAGCACCTGGTATTTGCCCGAGCCGGGCAATAGACGGGCAATCACCTCCGGAAAGCGCGTGTTGAACTAAGATTTCATATAGTCAGTATGTTATCCAGGATTAGATGATGTCCGATTGATACAACCCCCAACCCAAATGAGAAATGAAATGAATGCTAGACATACCTTAAAGTCCATGATGGAGGATTTGCTGTTCTCCGGCGTGGCATAGCCCAGATTAACATTCGGATTACCAGTGCTAAGGGAAATGCATATTAAATAACCTAATAATAACTTAAATAAGCGCCTCTCTCTACTTACATGCGATTGACCGTTTTAATGGCCACCTCGAGCTTAAAATTGTTGAACTTCGAGAGCTCCGCCTTGCTGTAGGGCTGGAACTCAAAGGTGGTGCAGCCCGAGGCAATTTCGGGCAAATAAAATGAGCGCTCCACCTCGAACCAGTGGCCCAGCACCTGAAATAGTTTAAATCCCAATTGGATGCAGGCATTAGAAATAAGTTCAATAAGATCTGCGGACTGCGTTTCACTTTGGGGCGATGAGTAAGCACTTAACTGGGTTACTATTATACCAAAAAAAAAAAAAAAAGAGAAGCAGAAAAAAAACACAACAACAACTGCCTCCACTCCCTGCGTAAAACATAAACATTTCAAGCGTTGTTTTTGTATCGTTAAACTGGTTTCAGTGCTGGCAGCGCTTAAACATTGCCCAGTAGCCGATTCCACTGATAACTGGCAGCTGGTGGCTGGTGCCTGGTGGCTGTCATAAAGCCCTCAGTGGATAATTATTCTTGGGCTCGGGGTCTTTGCCCCCCTAAGCGAACCATGTCAAGCCGAACTCACGCTTATCAGCAGCTCAATTGGAAGCGACAACTTATCCAATTAATAGCTGCCCGCAGCGAGATAAGAGCTGCAGCAGCCTCCAAGCATAGCTGGAGTTTAATACGTGACACGAAGCACGCACGATCTGCTTCGAAGGGATGAGAGATTATTTACTTTACTTAATACGATCTGCCTTGAAGGGATTGATTTGGTAGGAAGAAGGGAGTTAGAAGCAGGTTGTAAATTAAACAATTATATGTGAAAATAGTTTCCGAGAGATTCTTAACTTTACTTTATACGTGACACGAAGCACACACGATCTGCTTTGAAGGGATTGATTTGGCAGGAAAAAGGGAGTTACAAGCAGGTTGTAAATTTAACATTTATATTTGAAAATTACTTCTGGGAGATTCTTAACTTTACTTTATACGTGTCACGAATCAGGCACGATCTGAATCGAAGGGATGGATGTGGCAAGCAGAAGGGAGTTACAAGCAGGTTGTGAATTTAACATGTAGATTTAAAAATAACTTTCGAGAGATTCTCAACTATACTTAACTTTACTTTATAAAGAAATCTAATTGTTTTAAGACAGCTTCACCTTTATCCACTAATATATTCTTCATTCCCAGTCTAAAACGCGTTCATCTCTAATACCTGCGCCTTGTTCGTAACTCTCACTCGCTTATTATGCTGTGGATATGGTAATTTGTTCATTTTGCGCGAATGGAACTCCGAGTGATTTCAAGGCGGTCAAGTGAATGCGTTTGTATGCAAGTCCCCCCCGCCGTCATATGATTAATGTAATTGGGCAGCTAAATTGATTAAAGCAATTTTCTAGTTTGCTCAGCTAAAATAAAATAGCAGCAGCAACGAGAAGATCTCTTTGATCTTTGGTCTCATTGTTGTTGTCCTTGGCGTGCCAATGAAGTCGTCGGCTTGGACATGGTCTCAAGTAGTTCGCTTGATGGCTTCTTGAATATGTTAAAGAAGTGGATTGTTTGCCATTGGCGACTACGAGACGGACAAATATAGATATATGGCATGTATGTGCCTAAAAAGTTTATAAAGTTTTTTTATATCTGTTTTGCTCTAAACTGGTTTGCACTTTTACATTGTTGCAGACCTCAAATTGGCTCAAGTTCATCTTTATGCACAATCTATAAAATATAATAAAAACTAAAAAAAAAAAAAAAAACAATGCTCCGGCCGACGCCTTGTACTAATTAATGGAAAATTTCACAGCTTTTTGTTGTCTTAACGAATCACTTTATAGTAGTGCCAAAAATTGTATATGTATTAAGTTTTATTGTTGTAGTCCATTTGGGCTGGGGGGATTGCATGCGAACTGGAACTGGAACTTACTCGACTCATATTGAACTTTGGCATCGATGGATACTTCGGGCAACGTCCAAATCCATAGGCATTCGCCTGCTCCACGAGTGTCAACAATAAAACTGACGACAATAGCGAAAATCGCAAAATTGTGCAAATTATGCGTTCATTTGTCATTTTGTAAGCTAAATAATTAAACGCGTCTTGGTTTAAGGATTGGCACAGTTTCTCCGATAATAATGAATATAGTGCGGTTGTTCTGTATAGAATGTTTAATTAATGGGCGATTCACTTGGTTATGCGCAGCGGAACTTCCGAATTGGATGTCGCGGGAGTTGGAATTCAGTTTCCTCAAACCGATGCGCTGGCTCGAGTTTTGTTGCTTGTAATTGTTATTATTGTTGTTGTTGTTGTTGTTGTTGCCCGATGTACCTATTAATATTCCGTAGAAGAAATGTGCGATAATAAAAACGTGCTGCTCTATGCTCGAGTCATGCTGGACTTTGGCTGGGTTGGTTGACTGCTTCGGCAAGTGCAACAAAAATTTAAAGAGTGAAAATGAAACACACACACACACGCACACACATACAACAAATATTGCTAACTAGGTTGGCTCGTGCCTGGCTAGGCGTTACGTAAAAGAAAATCCAAAACAAACTCCAAACCAAACCAGACCAGACCCGACCAGGCCAGGCCAGGCTTAGGCCTGGCTTAGGCTCAGCGATGCGAAGCGTAGCGAACCGGCTGCCGCATAGATCCCGCACATCGAGCCCGTTGCAAGTGGCAAGTCCATGCGGAATGCAACTGCAACTAGTTGGTGGCAATGCAGTGAATAGTTGTGAAGCACGCAACTGTTGCGCATTCATTCATAAACAAAAGTAAAAGGTCTAATAAAGGAAGTCCATGGCTGTAGCTGTAGCTGCAAATGTGTCATGCAGCTTGTGGAGTTTATCGTGAGGCATGCTTGTTTTCATTGCAAACCAGCTGCTATTGAACAACAAATCCAATTGAATTGGCCCAAGTTCAAGTCAACTGTAACAACTACAATTAGCCAAGCATAAAAGAAAATCCACAATTTCCACATGCAATATGAAGGAAGTACTATGTATAGAGATTTTCTTTTATGACACACTCCTATCCGTTTTGTAATAATTAACGCATTGAAAAACAGGCAATGAAAATCGGCAGTTGGCCAACCGAGCGACAAATTTAACATCCAAACATACACGAGAGAAAAAAAGTGTTAATTCTGCAGACAGCAAAATAAACAAAAAAAAAAACGCAAAAACGAATCATTCAATTACATATACTCATAATAGTTGCCTGGCACTGTTCAGACGCCAAGGCAATTGCAAAATTATGCTGTTTTTTACGCTTTTTTTTTCAATATTTCAATTGACTTTAATAGTCGTAGTTGTTGTCTGCGTCTTGTTGTACAATGCTTTAGTTGTTATCTCGTTGTTTACATGTTTGACTGCGCGTTCTTTGGCATTTGTTCGTTATATATCTTGTTGCGTCAACTGACTTTCTTCTGCAACCACACCACACGACCGTTGAAAACGTACTGACTGATGTTTATCGTACTGACATTTGAATTAACATCAGTGTGACCGTCGTAGTTAAAGATATTTTTACCGATTAACGAAAGGGCACACACTGGCAGAAAAAAATCGATAGCACCTTTACTTTTTCGGGCATCATCCGACCTCCACAAATTTGTCGACTGTCAACAAATAAAAAACAAATTTTTGTTTTTAAACAAATTTGTTTTTGCTATTAGCAAATGGCGGCTGCATAGGCTATTGCAACGAACAGAAGGCAATAGAATAGGCCATGGCAGCTTGCGTGCTCTGTTTTGGGTGCTGCAAGAACGGCGAATCGTATAAGATATTTTCCGAGGCTGGTTCGCGGCTCAACATTTGCAAAACAATAAACAAACACTTTTGGCTCGAGGTAAGGGCGCGATTTCGTGCTTGGTGCCCTTTTGCTTTGATTCGACTTTTTGCAGCTGAGCAGTGCAGGGGGCGAGCATGAGGAAATTTGCCGCCAGTGCTGGGAGTGCGTGAGCAGCTTCAATGAGTTCTACCAACGCGTGTACAATGCCCACCAGGAACGACGCTGCGATGTCAAAAATGTGCCCATCGAGTTCTGCGACGAGTCGGAGGCAGCCAATCCTCTCGCCTTTGGGGGCGAACTGGATGCCCTGGCCGAGGATTTCTTTGCAACTGGCGATGTCAAGGTGGAGGTGAACGAATTGGAGCCGCTGCCCAAGCTTGAGATGCTCGAGGAGCCGGTGCTGGCAGAGAAGAGCAGTGCAACGAAGCGCAGTTGTGCTGATTATCCAGCCAGTGCTAAGCGGCGCATCAAAAACGAGCAGCTGACGCTCGCCAGTGACTCGGATGGAGACATACCGTTGGCTGAGTTCCTGGACCTAAAAACCCCTGCAAAGCAAGCAGCAGCGACCGAGAAACCAATAACAGCCAAGGGCAGGCAGCTGCGCCGGAGCTCTCGACGTGGACGCCGATCAAAAACGCCGCCAGAATCGCCGCCGACCTGCATGAAGAAGGAATTCGAATCGGAAGACGAGCATGATAATGATGACAGGGAATTTGTGGCAGCCGAGGCACTGCTGGGCACCGAAGACAGTGCCAGTTCCAGCGAGAGCAGTGACAGTGACTCTGGCAATAGTTTGCCCGACATTGAGCCAGAGGAACGCTATGCAGAAATACCCAAACGCATTGTAGTCAAGCCCAAAAAGTATCGCAAGCGTCCCAAGCCATTGGTGCCGCCGGTGCGCATGAGCCGGGAGGAGATCGAGAAGCGCAAAGCACAACAAAACGAATTCGATGAGATTATATTTGACTTTTTCAAGAAGCTGCCATGTCATATGTGCAATCTGCTGGTGCCCAACTTCGGCGACATGCGTCGCCATCAGCGCATGTCCCACAACATTGAGAGTGGCTTTATATCCTGCTGTGGTCGCAAGTTTCACATACGTCGGGCTCTGGCTGAGCACGTACTGGTGCACAAGAATCCAGAGCATTTTATGTGCACACAATGCGGCCGCGTCTTTCAGGACTCGAAAACGCTTGAGACGCACGAGCAAACGCACACGAATCCTCAAGCGGATGCGAAGGATAAGCGCATGTACCAGTGCGACAAGTGTCCCAAGTGCTTCACCACAAAGGCTGCGGTCGAGTATCACAATGTGTCCAAGCATGTGCCCAAGTCGGATTTCAAATACACCTGCCCCGAGTGCAATAAGAAGTTAGCATTACTTTGAAAGATTTCCCAACTGTGCCTAATCCGGAATGCCTATTTTCTTACAGGGTGCCCACAGAGCGCAAGCTAAAGGAACATCTACGCTATATGCACGATCCAGAGACTGCCATCATCTGCGATAAGTGCGGCAAAACATTACGCTCTCAGGCTAATCTGAAGAAACACCACGAACTGGAGCATTCCGATAAGCCACGCCCCAAACCCGACCCAGTGCAGTGCGAGATATGCGGCACTTGGCTGCGCCATTTGTCCGGTCTCAAGCAGCACATGAGCACAGTGCACGAACCGCCGGGCGGGGAGCATCGCTGTCACATCTGCGACAAAAAGTCGACCAACTCGCGCGCACTCAAACGCCATATCTACCATAATCATCAGTGCGAAAGAAAGTTCCGCTGCACCATGTGCGAGAAGGCCTTTAAGAGGCCACAGGATTTGAGAGTAAGTGAAGACAAAGAAATCAGAGTAACAATGCTAATCAACTGTATGCTCACAGGAACACACTTCCACGCACACGGGTGAGGTGTTGTACACCTGTCCCAATTGCCCACAGACGTTCTTTTCGAATGCCAACATGTACAAGCATCGGCAGCGTTTGCATCGCGCCGAATGGGAGGCGGATCGCAAGAAGCCGCTGCCGCCCAACATAATGCAGCAAGCGGTGGGCGCAACAACGGCCATGAAGAAGCGTCAGACCAGCAACGCCGGACCAGCGCTATTCACGCAACCCGCTGAGCCCACCGCGGATGCCGCGAAGCAGGAATCACAACTGCACTAGTATTTAATAAGTATTTATGACATAGAAATAGATAAAAGAAGGAACTCATAAATATACTTCATACAAGTACATCCATAGATAACAGATAACATATTAGACATCTATTATTTCAACTAATGCTCGTCCTGTGGAATGCGGATTGTCTCACAAATGCCCTCCTCTCGGTGCACGCTGGCCCAGTGCTGGGACAGATGCTGGCTGATAGCCCTGCGGAAGACCATGCACGTGATGTGCGGCAACTTCTCGAAGCGGACGCGCAACAGGCCCAGCTTGGCCAGAGCAAAGCGCCAGTTCTTCATTATGCTGGCATTTTTGCCCACGTGCTGAGAATCGGGCGTGATGATGACTAGTATTCCCTCGGGACCCAACAGCTCGTAGGCCTTCTGGCAGCAAAGCAGACGCTGCTCGGCACTGGGCATATACTCCAGTAGGAGACTGAATATGACGCAGTGGTAGTAGCCAGCAGGTAACTTCTTCACACTCTGATTGCTTATCTCCGGTTGCTTTATATTGGCATCTACGTCCACGGTTAGAAAGTCGCCCTGCAGCACAAGAGCGCCCGGTGCCGGGCAGAGATCAATGGCTGTCACCTCCAGGTGCGGTATATTGCCAAACGGATTGAAGCAGCTGCCCACATCCAGCAGACGCACTCTGTCCGGCGGCTCATCCATGTATGCACATTCGGAATCTGCCAGCTCGTTGTAGGACGCCAGCAAACGCTGCTCCCGCTGGCGCTTCTGCAGATAGATGCCCTCGGTGTAGAAATACTTGGTTATATAGTCGATGGCCCACTTGATGCGACTGCGCGCTTGTAGCTCCGTCTTGCTGGTATTTGATTCCCATATGCCAGCCAGTTGCTGCATTGCATCCGCATACTCAGCCAGCTTTTTTGCATTGTGCGGCCCGGTGTGCTCCTGCCAGGCGCGCTCTGCTCCGTATAATTTGGTGAGTTGCCTCAAGCTATCGTGGCAGCTCTTCACAATGTTGGCCAAGCGTTGATGCTCCTCTGTGGCCATAGTTTTTGTTTATTTTCACCCAAGGCGCAACAAATGTGTGTGTGTGTATAATTGAGATGAGCGATATTTACACACCTGTATACCTGTATTCTATTTTTGCCACCACTGTATAAAATGTATGCATTGACTGGTATTGCAGCGCATAATAAACAAAAGTATGACCAGCTGCAAGTTTTTTTCTGGCATTTTTAGTGTTGAACTTTTAGGTCACACTTGCCAGCTGGCTAAACGGCAACTTTTTCAAAACAAAAAGTGATTCTCCAACGATCGCAGCGAATTCAAATACATTTAAACAAAATACAAAGAGGAGCTAATCGTATACTTATTGATCGGGTGTGTAAACATTTTGTTGTGAGTTGGGAAACAAGAAAACTTTTGGAACTTTGTGTATTCACTTTTGGGGAAAGCGTCTTTGAGTTGTTTATTAAAGCAATAAAGCTAAAAATAATGCTCCCACTGCTATTCTATTTAATCTTATTATAGTATGACTAATCAAATGCTATGCAAATTGAAAGCTTGCACCGCTTTTCATATATTTTCGCATTGAGTTCGACTCACTAATTACAAATATATCAAGTACAGCCGGTATGATAATGATAAACCCGATCGCGTGCAATAACAACAACAACAACAACAACAATTACATGTGTAATATATTATTTACTTACATAATGATTCAGCCTGTAGCAAACATGAGTAAGCAAATAATGGGATAGGCACGTAAACCGAGCAGATCAACCCAGGCCAATTCCCATACATTGATAAGAAATAGAACCGAGGATCGGCACATTGCCAGACAGACGATTGTGGAAACTATGCGTTGGCTCCCTTATCAGATCCGAGCACATTGACCATACACAACACAATTTCACGCGAAGCTAGACTGTCGCGGGCTACAAAAAGAGTGAAATACATTCATATGTTCATAGTTCTAAAAGTATATCATTCTAAAGGTCAAGACTGAGTGGAATGTATGTATGTGAATGTATGTGACGCACACATATGCCTTTTTGTTTTTGATGCCTATAGCAACATGAATATGACAGCTACGACGCACTCTTTGTACTCTATGCTCATATAAACATGTTCTTTGTACGGCAAATCAAGCTGATATACAGCCCACTCCAATTAAGTGAATGGCTAATTGTTAAATTAGCCTGGCACTCACCAGACTGGCCCCAGCCAATTGATAAGGCTTTGCTAATCGAACACGTTTCCAAACAATAAAACACTGTAAACACATGTAAAATGTCCTCTACGATAGATAGTAGAAGCGAAATATTTGTGTGCCCGGCATGCGGGCTGCCTTTCTTTATCAACTGCCAACTTATCGCTAACTAATCACTGAAATTGCTTCTTAAAATGTTAACAGCGATTTTCAACGTTGCTAGCGATAAGGATAAGAACGCATTGGTGGGCATTGCTGGCACAGTTCAGTCGCCGAAGGGTCTTCAACTCAGACGCTTGCCTGTGCCCAAGTTCCGCCGCATCTACTCAACTGCTCTACAACATGAAGATCGAATGGGCGCCCGTCAAAGTGCCGCCCAAGCGTCGCTTGGAGACTTTGGTCACGGGACTCTTTACCCTGTTCTTCTTCACGCTGCCGCTGACTTCATTTCTGACCATGGCGCTGCTGCTGGTAAGTAGAAGGAGCTGTCCGTTAAGAGCCAGTTTTCACTGTGTATATCTGCCTACTTTGCAGTACTTTGGCGGCTTTATCATACGCACTCTTCTGGTGATCTATACGGCCTACATATACATCGAGCACAAACGCACCTACTCTGCCATGGACGGCAATGGGTATGTCTCCCCCCGCTCCCCTCCCTCCCTCCCACTAATTCCCTTGACTTTCTCTAGCTGGATGCTGAACCGCACGAACTGTCTGTACCGCATATATCGTAATTATTTTCCCGTTCAATTGGTGAAGACGGCCGACCTGCCGCCCAATAGAAACTATATATTGGCCAGCTTTCCACACGGCATTCTTGGGTAACAACTACACGCAGATATCTTATCAGCTATATAAATGTGTACTTATTGCTTACCAACAATTAGCACCGGCATTTGCATCAATATGGGCCTGGACATTAGCCTTTGGCTGAAGCACTTCCCCCAGGTGCGTCCCAAGGTGGGGACACTCGATCAGCATTTCGTGATACCCTTTCTGCGGGATTTGCTGCGCTGGTGGGGCTTGGTGTCCGTGTCCAAGGAATCGTTGGTCTATTATCTGACAAAGTCCAATGACCCGAAGCATTCGGACAATCGCGATGGCTTCACATCCAACGCTGTGGCCATTTTGGTTGGCGGCGCCCAAGAGGCGCTCGATTCGCATCCCGGCAAATACATTCTGACGCTAAAGAATCGCAAGGGCTTCGTTAAGATGGCCATACGCACGGGGTGAGTTCGGGTGACTGCGATAAGTGCCAGCACATTTACAGCACTCTCTCCCATGAACAGCTCCTCGATTGTGCCCACCATTTCCTTTGGAGAAGTCGACATCTTCGATCAGGTGAACAATCCGCCAGACTCGCTGCTGCGCCGGCTGCAGACAATGGTCAAGAAGCTGACGGGCATATCGCCGCTAATCCCCGTGGGTCGGGGCTTCTTCAACTATACTTTCGGCTTTGTGCCCTACCGTCGACCCATCGTGCAAGTTGGTAAGTGCCGAACTTGGTTTAAATACATTCGATCTCGATTTCTAATGCGAACTGGTTCATTGCTTTAGTTGGCGCGCCAATTGATGTGGTCCAGAGCGCACAGCCGGATCCGGCGTATGTGGATGAGTTGCACGGCAAGGTAATGGAGGCCTTGGAGCGCATGTTTGATCAGTATAAAGATAAATATATGCCGAACGCCACAAAAACACAACTTGTAATACACTAAACACACGGAACAACTGTTTGGCGGGGCTGCCAACTCGCCCACAAAAGTGCCACATTGGTATTTACAACGCAATCAAATTCGGTCACACTTAAAGCTCGAGGCGTTACTTTTCAAATGCCTTGGAGCGTAATATTGCCGGGCTTTTAATTCAAAATGAAAATAAACAAAGCAAACGTGATGTTAAGTGATTAAACTAAATACAATTACATATAAGCATTTATCTATGTTTAGCGTTTAGTTAATTGTATGCAATAAAAAAGGTTAGTTGGTTAATTGTAACGAAAGCGTATGTTCTTTTTATTAATTAATTATTATTATTAATTTACCAATTAAATTTGTTGCTTCGTACATAAATATTATATACAAAAAGAAAAGGAGGATTCGAATTTCATATTGGAAAACTTAACTAAATTTTTGCATTTTTGCGTTTTGTGCCATGATCTTGAATCCATTTTTGGTTTTTTTTTCTTTGTTCATTAACTTTGTTTTTTTCATTTGTATATACTATATAGAATTTTGGTTTAACAACTATGTATAAGGAATTTTAAAAATACAATATTATGCTACACTAAATTCAATCGCAGAATTTTCGAGTAAGGTACAATTAATTTAATTTCTCTTTAGCAACAAATCACCGTTCATAAAGGGTATTTACTAAAAAGCAAAAGTGCGGGATCGAAATCAAATCAAATAAAGAATAAACTATAGAAATTCTCCTAGTTAGTTGGCTTCATTACTAAATTATATAAATTATCTACAAATACCTAGAAACAGCGAATAGGAAATTCCGAAAAATACAATTTCAGAAGGAACACTTGGCATAGTTGGGTTCTGGATATGGCTTAAATCTCGAGTTAATGTGACTACGAATTCTGAATACCAAATTCTGGATGCTTTACCTACAAAATGCATTGCTGTCAAATCTCTCGATTTTTAGCATTATAACAACAATATCTCAATTACTTTTCTATGTATATGATTATCTTTGTAATATTGTAGTAAAAATAATATTCTGTGGGCTTTTGCTTAGAGTCTGTAGTCGTAGTAGTTAAAAGGATTGCAGCTAGTCGAATATTTCGCACTTATATTAACTCACTTTCTTTATATATATCTATATATATATATGATTGGGATCTAGTTATGCGCGTGTGTGTGCGTTAGTGACAAAAATATAAATATATATATATATATTTATGTATATATATTCTGTATTAGAAGCAATTTAATTGCTGCACATTCCAACTAGATAAATACAATTTAGTTAATTTAGCAATACAAAATGTTTAAGTTCGCTTTTGGCATAGATTTTTTGTTTTGTTTATGATGATGGATGAGTTAACAGTTTTCTAATTGATAAAAGAGCCTAAAAACATTTGCTAATTCTCATATCAATTAAATGCTAGCTCTCTCTCTCTCTCTTTAAATTATCTCAATTATTTCTACGTTTTAGGTACTAGCCAGGCAGCCGAATTTGCAAAAGGTTTACGATATTTTTGCTGTGCTTCCAAAAAGCGTACTTCTTTTATCTAAATATTTGTTATATATATATTTTTTTGGTTGCTTTTTAAATCAATCCCTGAGTGCATTTTTTGCTTTATATTTTTTGGTTTTCCTATTAAATGTTTTGCTTGCTTGATTTGGTGTTTTTCCTTTGTCTTGTAATTGTTTGTGCTAGTTTAATTAATAATAATTATATTTTGTCGCCTTGATTTTGTTTTCTCAGTTTTCAGCATTCTAGAATTGATTCGGTTCGGTTGTCGTTCATTGCGCCAATTTTTGCCCCAATTGAAAAAGGTTTATCCATTAACTACACTAAGATACGAATTCTTTACATATATATATTATCTTTTTTCTTTTTTTTTACCAATCTCAAAAATGGTGGCATTGTGCTTTAGTTAAGTCGAGAAAAAACGTTAAGTAATTTGTTAGTTTGATGGACTTTTTTTGGTTTTTTGTTTTTGAGCGCAAAGGTGCATGGAAGATTAACAAGGTGTGTGTGTGTGTGTGTGTGTGTGTGTGTGTGTGTGTTTTAGCTTAAACCATTTAACATTGAACATTTTGAAATCGTTAGGTTGTTCTTCTTTTAGTTGGTGTTTCAATTGCGGTGAGCTCTAATCTAGTTTTAGTTAATTTCATTAGATTTGTTCATTTTATAAGTTTGTATCTACAAAAGACTCCATTTTAAACAATTTTCAAATATATTATGCATTTTGTTGGGATTTCTTTTCGGTTTTATTGATTGCAACAAATATCTATATATATATTTTGTTTACTTTATTTATTTATATATATTTTTTTTGGTTTTTAGTGTGTATATTTAATATATGTATATATATATATATATATATAATCTGGTAATTAGATTCCTTTTGTATAATTACAATTGAATTTATAGTATGTACGTATTTGTTTTCTTAGTTAAGAGTTAGCATATGTACTAACTGTTAGCACACGGGCCGTAATACAATTGCATTTAATTCTTGTCTTCATTTTTGATTAACTACAGTTTCTCTCTAATCGAATTCTCAATTAACAAAATTTTGTAGCCTTTTTTTTTGAATTTCATGATGTATTTTTTGTTGGGATTACATTTTAATTTAGCTATCAGGTTGCGGATTTCCTTTGTTCTTGCCTTTTTCGGATTACAGTATATATTTGTATATATACATATATATCGTCAATATATCTTCTAGTTCTACACATGATCAGCTCGCGTTCCATTTTTGGTTAGTTTTAACTTTAAACCTACACAAAATCTATTTTGTCAACAATAAAACAAAACTTTCGACTTACAATTAAAAAAAAATGGGGAAAACAAGAGTACAATTCTATAAAATTTATACAAAATTTCAATATACCTTTCTCTGTATATATGTATATGTGTGTCGATGTATGTGTAGGTGTATGTGTATTAGTGTATATATGTCCTGTATAACTATATATTTGTGGTGGTTAGAGCTGTCTAGACAGCCACAATGGCCGCCATCTACGAGGCAGTCGGCACGGGATTGAAATAATGCAGGCCATTGGTCTATAAAGCAAAAAATGCAAATATAATTAAATACAAGTTATAGAGGATGTTTTTAAGAGGTGTTAAGTACGCACCGCCATATCGTATTCGGTTATATAGGCGGGTATTTCCAGCTGATCCTTTGTTATGGCCGAATACAGGTGCTCGACGCCGGGCAGCGAGTGCACCTTGGCCTTAATGGCGGGCGCCATGAATGTGGTGAACCACCAGGTCATCATTTTAGTCCAGAACGTGGGATGCACAATATAGAAGGCCTTCAGATTCTTCTTGTATCTGTGGATTAGTCGAAGATTTAGTTAAGAGTTGAGAGTTAAGTAAGTGGACCTTACTTATATGGCAAGACACTGTAGACCTCGCGCAGCCAGTGCAGCGATGGATAGTTGTTTGTGGATGTGAGTGTATGGAAGTAGGCAATGACATAGTCGCCCTTGACAATCGGATCGAGCAGCTTTATCAGATATAACAGCGCCTGCAAAAAGCATATTTCAATTATCAGTTGTTACTCTCAGAGTTATATAGAGTATGTTATCCTTACCTTCTCCAGGTCAAGATTGTGTGCTGGAAACCATTTGCCGCAGAACACAATCACGGGTCGTCCCAGACGATCCACACCGCTCTGATATAGACAACCGATGCCAGATACCTCGTTCAAATCCTCAACTTGTGCGCGCTGCAGCAGGCGTTCGTATCTGTAAAGGGAGAGGGAGAGGAAGGGAAAAGTATTTATATTGTAGGTAGATATAGATTTGTATAGGTAAATGGAATTAAGTCAACTTGTTATTGATCCCACTCAGAGGTGCTAATGGCTTATGGCTAAGCTTAAAAATGCGTATACGACGTGTTGGCCAGCTTAAAAGTTTATTGTTTAGCTAACTGTTAGTCAACTGATTCGGTAGCTGACGGGCACGAGTATTTGCAGTAGTCGTAATTGTGTTTACCTTGCCGTCCGCTTAAAATTCGCAACACATTCATATTATAAATCTCTTGAAAAGGTGTGTACCAGGTTTAGGGGCTGTACGACACATGTACCTGGATATGAGTTAGTTGGGGCTTTAGCTTTATTATTATTGTGCTAAAATGAGCGCAAATATTTGAGCGATAAAAAGCGAGCAACGCAATTAAAAAGTGAAGTAGAATATATATAAATATTATTTTATCTGTCAAAAAGTAGGGAACTTTGTGTATATAGGGGGAAATTACAGCTGTTGAGAACAAATAAACAGACTGTTTAACATTTCAACAAACATACATTTAAATGGGCACTGCTAACAGCAGCTTAAATTATGAACAGAAGCTAGGACCATTTGTTCTCATTTTAAAACTTAACAGTAACAGTTATGTGAAGCCTAGAACAGCTTCAGCAGTGCACAGGCAACTGTTCATCAACTTGGAACTTAAGGTAAACTGTGCCCAGAGAACAGATTTACCCCCTGTTAACAGCAGCTTGTGGGAGAATTTGTAAAAATTAAGCGAAAGTTGTGATTTTGATTTGGGATCTATATCTAAATATATCTCGCAATTAAAGCATTCTTTTTTTTTAACAAAATTCCTTAAATTTTCCATGCAGTTTAATTGTTTTTGAGCTAAAATGTTGATCTTGTGCTCTGTGTAGAACGCCTGACTGAGTCATTTAGTGAATCGTTGACTTCGATATAAATCCAGGTGGCAAATGTTGGTGTTAATTAACCAGTTTCGAATTGGTTACTGGCACACGCCTCACTAACTTTTTGTAGGTGTGTGTGTGTGCGTGTGTGTGTGTGTCTGTTTTGGCTTGGTGCAAAGTGACGCAAGTGAACGTAACTCCGGTAGCAGCTGAGCAAGTGATATGCCGTAAACCCGATAAGCCCGGAGACAGCATCTGCAACGCATCCCCAAAGCAGATTAAGATAAAAGAGTGCCCCCTTATAAAACGAATGTGACGCATTGCGACGCAGCGTGCAAATAAGATACATCTCACATATATATACACATCAAATATATATATGCTATACTCTCTAATAACTATACTAAGTATATTTATGTACTAACAAGTCGCGTGTGAAAATTATTCGCATTTATTGTTGTTGTTTTTGTAGTTAATTTTGAAAATGAGTAACATTAAAATGCAGTTTTATGGCTCAGTTATTTGAACAAGCAACTGTGCATTTGGTATCACTTTTAGTAGCTACAGTGAAAGCTGCCTAAAAATAACCTAACTAAATGATATATGGCAAGTACAATTTGTCTGGCTAAAAGGGAACTTAAAAGCTTCATGTTCATGGTTCATAAGACATTGAAGACACCTTGCCCAGTTACTACTGTAACCCTGGTAAATATACCTCGTCAAACCCTCCCGTAAATTGCATGCATATTGTTCAGTTTGAATTGACAGGCATGTAGGTAAAGTGGGACCAGGCGTAGCATTCCCCTTCCCATTCCCATTCCCATTCTGATTCCCAGGGTCGCGAGTGAACGTGGTTTCAATAATGCATGACTACTGATGAGCTGTCGAGCTGTAAAGGACTCTATTGGCAGTCACGACAGTTATGCTCAATTGGCATATCGGGCGCTATAAATAGACGACAACTAGTTGAAGTTATGAGCCATAATCAAGTCGAGTCGAGTCGAGTCGAGCTCGAGTCATACACTTGACTGAAGTGAAAATGACGTCACGCAATTAAAAGCGCACACATAATTGGTAAGAAAGAAATGTCAAACGTCATCGGCAAAGAGGTTTCACTGTGGGCTGATTCTCTGGCTTGTGGGTGGGTGGTGCTTCAATCAGCGACTGACAACGACAGTGTTTCAATTGATTTCTTTGGTCAATGTTTACCTCTCCTCCGGCGTCTCCATGAGCTCATCGGCTGCGATAATATCCCCGGTGGTCTCCTGCATGGGACTGGAGCCCAAGTCTATGGACGTCATGCCCTCGAGCATTGTCATAGCTGTCGGGTCGGGTTGGCTTGGTTAGGTGGGTGGTTGGTTGGTTGGTTGGTTGTGTGTTGTTGTTATTTGTTGTTGCTGTTCAGCTGCTGTGCTTTAGCTTCTAGTTGTTGTTCAATTACAATGTTGTGCTCGCCTTTTACAGTTTTATCGATCGAGCGAAACGTGAAACGAACGAAACTTTATGGAATTTCGCCTATTTTTTGCCTAGTGCAATTTCTCATCAATTGACGCAAATGGCGCAGACGTTTCGAGTCTTTCAATTACGTTTCAGTTTTTTTTTTTTTGTTTTTATTAATAGAATTCTCAATATTTATTCAAATTGTGGCAGCTACTTTTGCCAGACTTTTGCGTTGCGTACGGAAGCCGCGTGAAATGATTTACTTATGAACCGAAAAATTTACAATATATATATATATAGATGGATATTATGCTTGTGTATATATTGTATTGAGTTTATATAAATCAGTTGGCCAAACTATTCGAACCGTATTCAGAGCACACACGACCATATGAAACGAGCTGCGTTTCTCGACTGAACGGCGGCAGGGCAGCTCTTCAATGCTTACCAAAAGCCAAAACACGCTCTGCCCGCGCGCGCTCTCTCTCTCTCTCTCTCTCTCGCCAGCTCTCAGCTACGAAACGTACGCAGACTTGTGTACCCCAAGAGACGCACACAGCAGGAAGTGCACACACGTTCGCTCTCGCTCTTACACTCCCACGCTCTCTCGCAGTTGTATGCTCTCTCTCTGCAGCTCTCTGCGGCGACTGCGCCTTTGCAGCTGTACAATGACATCAACAGCAACAACAACAACAATAACAGTTGCGGGAGCACAGGCAACTATCCAAGGACACGCCATGGACTAACTGACTGATTGACGGACGGCCTGATTGATTGACTGGCCGACTGACTGACTGCCTGCCTGCCTGCCTCTCTGCCCGATTGCCTGACAGCCGCCAATCGCATAATGCAAATGCCAACAAATCAGTTGAAAAACAGTTAAATTTTCTTTTTCTTGTTTTTTTGGTGTACCACTTTTTTTTCGGACAGCGCCCACGTGACGTATGCGCAATTTTCATTTAAAACAAAGCAAATAACAAACAGGCGAGCCATAAAGCAGAGAGCATGTGTTGGGCGAGAGTGCTCGACTGGCAGATACCCTGCGGACAGCTTAAAAGTATTTAGGCTCTTATATTAATGTATTTGGACATTTATAAATCTCTGTAGAGGAATTTTGTTAGTCCAGAAACAGATGAGATTAATTTTATTTTGGATTTAGCAGATATATATTCAAATATGCCCATGCTTATTTTGCGATTTACAGGCTGTAAACAGGCGAGCAAATGTGAACCCGCCCAAATGCTTTGATCCGGACGAAGCCGCCCGAATGCCTGGCCTGTTTACATGAATATATATGCGTATTACTTATTTGTTATAAATTTATTAACATTAATTTAAGATTTAAATGGATAACAAATGCGATGACACACGATACGAATTGAACAAATCGAACAAAATGTGTGCGGTTGCATTCAACGAACTGCAACATTTCGTGTGCTAATTACATCTGCAGTCAGGTGGGGAGGGGAGGAGGGGGCAGGGGAGGAGGGGGCAGGGGAGGGGGAGCTCCCCACAGAGGGGAAGGGAGCGTTGCTGTTAATTGTGTGGCCCATAATTGAGTTGACGGGGGAGAAGAAAAAAATGTGCACGCATTTGGACAGTGACAACTCGCAATGCTGAATTTCAACTTGAAAAGCCAAAAGTTATTTAATTTTATGCATCATTTGGTTGTTTTTTTTTGTTTCTTGTTTGTTTTTGTTTTTTTCACTATTTGTTATGCATACTCCGGATTGGTCTTGGATTCGTTTTGGGCTCGGAATATGTAGTGCGAAATGCAAATCGCGGCGCAATAAAGTTAAAGGCTAAGGTCAACGCAAACTTTTACGAGGGCAGTTTCTAACTCAAATATGATTATTTGATAAGAAAGAAGTACGAAAATATCTTGTTAATAGGAACTTGTGCTATTTATAGACAAGTTCTCAAGTGAATTTTATTATTTGTGATTTAACTATTTAGTATCTATAGAGTTGGGAGTTGAGCCGAGTTCCAAGGGTTGCAATGCCCAGTTGGGTGGGCATGTATTTTTAGCTAGTTATATTTAGCAAGTGTGAACAAAAATATAAATGATATTTGGTATTTGAGTTTGGTCATGCAAACGATGACGTCGACAGACCGAAGGAATATGACGTCAGAGGCTCAAGAAAGTGCGATTGCGGAAAAAGGGGTTTTGTTAGGAAGGGGAATGGACTACAATTCCACGATACTTGTTCGCGTGCCAATGTCCTCTAAAATTTGCATAGGCACACAAATGCCAGGCAGTGGAGTGGTGGTAGAGGGGGGTTTGGGGGGTGGGGCATCCAAAGGCAGGCAGGCAGGCTGGTTCGAAGGAAAGCCCGGTCAAAGAAGTCATTTGTCAGACGTTTAAGATATTTCCGGCACGCGCACACTAAATACACGAATTCTATTTATTTAAGAGTATTACGAATGATATTACGAACAAAAACCAAATGTGTTTATGTGGCCAACTAAGGGCATTTTTATGAACTGCAGACGGGGCCCAGTTAGAAATAAAAGGCCAATTTGAACGTATTTAATGACGCAAGCGGACACCTGATGTCGACTCGATATGACCAGCCGACTGTTTACCTGATTCTCTTGACACATTGAAGACAGAGGAAACAATAATAATAACAACAAGGGGATTGCACATAAACAACATGCAGAAAACTCATATTACGATCTATTCTTGAGGCTCCCAGCTCGGAATATAATATGATACTGATTTGATACTCGAGTAGTTAGTCTAGGGAACATTTGTGGGGAAATGTGTCTAAAAATGGAGATTCTTTTAAAGTTAATGTAATTGTGTAAAAGCAGACATTTTCGTTGTAAATATCTGTTGATAATTTTCTAGTTTCCTTTTTTGTCTGTTTGAATTATTGGCAAATAAGGATAAGGATAGACTCAGTCGGGAACTAAGCCAATAGGATCCTAGGCCAAGCTTTAGACAAGTCTTGGATGGATGTCTTTACGGAAGACTATGCCCATGCTTATGGTTTTTTTTAGCTATTAGTAATGATTAATAATAATAATAATAAACAATAAATTAGATAGGGTTAGAAGCTTTCTCCTCTTTATAAACATGTTTCACTTGAGTTAGGAGCTGTCTCCTTTAGCACACACACACTCTCTCTCGCTCTCTCTTACTCTCTCGCTCTTTCTTAGTCAGTCTCTCATCTCTCTCTATCTCTCACTTTCCCCTCTTTCTCTCTCTCACTTTCCCCCCGCTCTCTATCTCTCCCACACAATCTGCATATCTCTCTCTCTTCTTCTCTCTCTATCTCTCTCTTCTTCTCTCTATCTCTCTCTTCTTCTCTCTGGCTAACACTCACCTCTCTTGATGCTCCATGCCTTCAATGCCCTCGGCAACGACCCTCTCATAGACACCAGTTCTGGGTCGATCGCTCAGCAAATGCTGCCTGTCCAGATCGCGCTGTGTGTGTGTGAAAGAGCAAGAAAATTATGTTTAGTATGAGAAAAAAGGAGAGAAAGAGTGAAAATCGTTACGCACCTGTAGCTGTGCCTGCAGTCCGCTGCTGTAGGAATTGAGACTGAGGCCATTCATGTCCCGAGCGCCATACTCCAGATCCGAGCTGTTGCCCTCCATGTCGTGTGGACTAACGTCTGAATCGTCGTCAGCTGTGGGAGAGCGGGAGAGCGGGAGAGAGAGAGAGAGAGAGAGAAGTTTAGTATAAGGTGTATTGATACTTTTGTATAAGCCAATTAATTTACATGAGAACTCGAATGAGTTGTTTATCATGTTTGTTTTTGTTTGGATCTATTATCAGTTGGATCTATAATCAGTTGGATCTATTATCAGTTGGATCTATTATCAGTTATCAAAGCTTAGCCTCAATGCCTTGATCGGCTTTTGTTGTGCTGCCCCCAACTTCAGCGCTGCGTAATTTGATATCAACTGAAAGCGACGTCGGCGCCGACAGCTTTGGGACGCCGCTTTTGTTAGCTGCGTCGACGTCGACTGCGATGCGAGCAGCGTAAAAGCAGTCAGCTGAAAGGAGGCGGCCCCCCTTCGCTTAGAGGGAGGGCGAGTTGGCGTCAAATCTGGCGATAAGCGAGTTGCGTTGTTTTTTAAACGTTGACATGATTTAAGTGGGCCAAAACGAAGACGACAGCAGCCACAACAAGAAAAACAGCCACAACAAGAAAAACAGCAGCAATAGAATTGGCAACAACTACAACAACAGCATCCGCTAGAAACACGGCTGACACTCGTCTTAACTAACTGTCGCAGATAAGCCGCACAGTTAATTTAAATGTTTGACTATGAATTCTTTTGATAAACTTGCGTTACGTGCGCCTGCCAAGCAGCACGGCGTAGAGCCTGCCCAGTTATCCAATTGTGGCTGCTGCTCAGAGAGAGAGAGCAAAAGAGAGAAGTTCAGCAAGAAAACTTTGAACTACGAAAAGTTTAACTTCTCTATAACTAAACTAAAAGCTCAAACGATTTACATAAAATGGGAGATATTCGTTTAAAGATTATAGTCTACATTGATTCCAGCATTTAAAGGTACTCTTATTTTGAAGAAAAGGAGTTATTGTTTTTCCCATCTGTCCTTTTTTTGATTGCAAAAATTCTAAGAGTAAATTTTATCATAGTTGTCATCAGTTGCTGTTATCAAACTTACAAAATGCTCTCCTAAAGTATTGTCTGAGCTGTTTACTTTTTTTTTTGAAAAATAACTTCCCAAAATTTAAATAAAATTTCGACCAAACTTTCAAGTGCGCTCACTCGTCTTAAGCTAACAGAACTTTGTCAAAGGTGAATAGATATTCATGTTTGAAGGTTTCTAATTTGTGATTCGTTTTCTAGAGTTGGATCTAGAGTTGCATTGTAAATTTACATATGACCTATGTCTATATAGGATATTTGAGGGAAAAATAATGTTGCCTGATTTAGATGCACGATTGATCTAGAGGCCAAACCATGAAAAAAGAGTCAAAGTTCGTGAAAATCGGATGAGATTTGACCGAGTTATGGGGGTGGGAAATTTAGACCTATGTCTATATGGGATATTTGAGGGCACCATTAATACATGAATTTCGTCCAAAAATAATGTTGTCCGATTTAGATGCACGATTGATCTAGAGGCCAAACCATGAAAAAAGAGCCAAAGCTCGTGAAAATCGGATGAGATTTGACCGAGTTATGGGGGTGGGAAATTTAGAAATATGGCTATATACATAGGATATTTGAGAGAACCATTATTACATGCATTTCGACAAAAAATAATGTTGCCAGATTTAGATGCACGATTGATCTAGTGGCCAAACCATGAAAAAAGAGCCAAAGCTCGTGAAAATCGTATGAGATTTGACCGAGTTATGGGGGTGGGAAATTTAGACCTATGTCTATATGGGATATTTGAGGGTACCATTTATACATAAATTTCGACCTAAAATAATGTTGCCAGATTTAGATGCACGATTGATCTAGTGGCCAAACCATGAAAAAAGAGCCAAAGCTCGTGAAAATTGGATGAGATTTGACCGAATTATGAGGTTGGGAAATTTTGAGGATACTATTTTCACATGATTTATGACTTTACTAAACAAATGTTTATATATATATCTATTTTTTTTTTTTGAATTATAGGTATCACGATTAATTTAAAAGATAGTCTCCGTCTTGGCTTGTCGTGCTCTTTAAATCTGTACTTAAATTAAATTTATTCGAATAAATCGCAATATTTTGCCCCCACTTTTTGCAGCTGCCCCAAAGTATGCAACACTTTTTGGTCTCGCAGAGCAACTGCGCTGCTGACGTCAGTCGCTTGAGTTGCTTCAAATTTTGTCCAAACTTTTTATCAGATTAACGAATTTTACAAGGCTGTTAAATGCTTTTGGCACATCACTTTATACACCCAGATTTATGCATTGTACATATATCCAGTTTTGGTCACAGATTTAATAATTATCGTGTCGATTCTATCACTTACAAATGTAAACTGTTTTGTTATGCGCGTTTCAGCCGAAACGCACTTGTTTAATCAGTTGTGAAAAATAATGGAAAAAAAACCGTTGGAAAATTGCGTTCAATTGATGCCGTTCGCCGTTTGGCTGACCACGCGAAGGTGTCTTTGGAACGTAACTGAAGCCTTAGCAGTGTGTATGGTGGCAATTTGAACGAACTCGGATTCGGATTGGGAATGGGAATGGAACTCGGCAAACGCACAAGCATATATCATGTGTACGCGAGTGTGTGTGTGTGTGTATGCGTGTGTGTGTGTGTGTATGCGTGTGTGTGTGTAGTCTAATCTTATCGACATCGACATTATCGGCAGCTGCTGTCGAGGGGCTAAACAAAGGCAAGAGCCCAAGGCTTGAGCTCTACAGCGAATGATATCAAGAACAGGCACACACACACACACACACACACACACACACACACACACACACACACACACACACACACACACACACAGCTGATAACCGATAGCTGATTAACGATAACTGATAACCCGCAAGCACGTCATCGTTTTAGCACTCACCATGCCGATGACGCATGTGCACACTGTGACTGTGCTGCGGATTGCGTATGATGCGTATCTGTCGATCCGGATCCGGATGCTGTGGCTCGCCCAGCTCGCCGCCCGTATCCTTGGGCAGCTGCCAGAGCGCACTGCGCTCCTCCAGCTGATCGCGTGGGAAGTAGAGCGGCGCCAGCACCTCATAGGTGCCGCGCTCGCTGCTATTGACGCACAGTATCACAACCTGCTGTGTAAACTTGTCCAGAAAGCGGCGAATGGTGCCTGCATGTGTGTGTGTTGTAGAGGAAGATAGGCATTAAATGATTGTTGATATTGAGTCTATACACAATGCTGATTTGATTGATTTAGCTACAAAGTACAATCTAGGGAGGCTAGTAAGAACCAGTTGGGTAATGTATGGCCTAAACTGATTGGGAATTATAGCGAAATGCAATAGAAGTATGCGTACTCTTTGTGTGACGAGCTTTAAATGAGTATAATTCTTAGAATATCTAAGAAAATAATTGTAGTTGGCCAATAATTAGGCTAAAGCTTGAATTCTTAGAAAGAAGACTTCAAAAACTGCACTAGGCACTTTCTATAAAAATATTAAACTTATGTAGATATTGTATAGGTTGTTATCTAGAAGCCCCCAGTAAAATGCCTTCGTAGTACAAAATTCTCTGCATACTATGCTAAGTAAAGAGAAAATAATTGAGAACTCTATCTAAGAGCTCTATCTTAAACTAATCTATTACTCAAGGCTTGTTAATTTAACAGTCTGATGATTGTTAGAGAAATAGATAAATTAGGGATTGAGTAATGCCTCTAAAATTAGAATTAATAGAATACATATGGCTAGAAGATACTACAAATGGAACTCATGCGAGTAGACAAACGAATGACTAGATGACTAACCAAGAGATAAGCAAAGATTCTACAAATATCACATAAATACGTCATTTATACGCCAAATCAAATCAGATCAGTTTAGATCAGTATAGTCGCTAGATTTCTGGCGTTACTCACGCAGGGCAATGTGCGCGGCCACATCGGCTGGAAAGGTCTTCTGATTGCCACTCACATTGCACACGGCGATTGTGCGCAGATTCAGCTCCTTGGCCTTGCAGAGAACGTTTCTGTGCCAGATCACAAGAGAGAGAGAGAGAGAGAGAGATGCATTAGCAAAGCTTAAGAAAATTGTCCGGCATAGCGAGGCTAACCTGTAGCAACAGTGCAGCGCATTCTCGGCGGCCGTCTTGAGCTTCTCCTTGTAGGCGGGTGCAACAGTGTGCAGAACATACTTGGCTGGCAGATTGTATCCACGCGTAACGCGCACATCACCAATGCGGCACTCTGCGGGGGAGGAGGAGAGAGAGAGAGACAATGTGATCAGGTTAAAGGATCTGTAGAGGATATATGTATTTGCTGGCTTACCCTTTACGGTTGTGCTCAGTTCCTCTTTGAGCTGATTGCCGGCAACGGCGATAATGCGCTCCGATATGCTATTGCTTTCAGTCAGGGTTTCGTCGCTGCTGTTCGTGATGGCATCCACCTCCAGTGTGGTCATGTCGCCATCCCTGAAAAGGCAAAGGAGATTAGACTAGACAGTATTGGGGTTGGAGCTGAACTGAAGCACTTACCAAATCACCAGACGATTGTTGACATCTTTGGACAGGGGAAAGGGACTGCAATTGTGACGCGGTCCGCCGAGCGTCGAATAATCCGTTAGGGGCAGCCGTGTATCCGTCTTCTGTGAGCCACCCCAGGTGGCCAGGTTATCCAATTTGACGAGCTAATTGAATGTTTTTTTCTTTATTATAATTATTTCTGCTATAACATTGGTTCATTGGAAGACTTACACATGAGTTGGTGCTGGAACTGGAACTGGAGTCGAACGCTTTGAAGTCCACATTTGAGTTAGTGTCGAGACGCATTGCGCTATAACGAGTTGGGAATTATTATGAAGGTTGTATTAAAAACGGTTGGAGAAGTGGAAAATGAGTGAATGAATGTGAGTGTGTGTGAGTGTAATAGGAGTTAATGTAGGAGTTAGATTCAAGTGAAGTGAAAGAGAGACCTACAGAGCGAGAGAGTGAGAGAGCAAGGGGGAGAGACTTACATAGAGAAAAAGAAAGAGAGAGAGAGGGCTAGAGTTTATAATGTTTAATAGGACATTCAAGTAGAAGGGTAGTCAAAAAGAAGGCGCAAAGCATTAGAGAGATCCGAAAACTGTAGAGCTTGAAGGACTGTAGGGTAAAGAAGAATTCGTCTATGATCTATGGGGAAATATTGGTTGGGGGAATACCCCTACTCTTGAAGTGCCTGGCCCGCCTCTGTCTGTTCCCTACGTTCACACAGCTTTCTATGCCCCATTTGTATATGTTAACTGGCAACAGGGTATACAAAGCGAGCTGCCTTTCTATTGTATTAATCTGCACAAATTTAAAGAACCTGAACCGTAGTTCAGATGTTGCCAATTAATATGTCACAGACTTCGATAAACTGTGGGCCAAGCCAACGGCCTGTTGGCTGTCAGCTGTTGAAACCGCTTGAAACTGGTCGAAAGCGACGAAGACGACGACAAACTCTATGAATACACTCGGCTTATCTAAATTTAACCAAGACCAGACGCTGTGAGTCAGCAATGGAGCATGTCAGCGAGCGTCAACGAACTTGTTGTTGTTCTGGCACAGAAACGAACTGTTTAACTAGTTGTGGCATTCTAATTGCCACTAACAGAAAGAAACAACAGATGAAAATGAAAAACAAATAAACTGAACAACAAGCGAAACAAATGAAAAATCCAAACGATTCATTTTGTGAATATAACAAATGGCAAAGATATTTCTTACGAGCGAGAGTCTCAGCTATCTCGAGCCTGGAAAGCAGCCTCAGCTTCAGCTGCCCCACGCACTGGAAAGAGCTCTATTTATGGCATGTGCGTCAGAAGCGTTGAATGGCAGTTGCTGAAACAAAGGCGCAGCGCCCAAAGCCCTTTTGCAGCCTGCCACCTGCCAACTGCCACCTGCCACCTGCCAACGTGCAACGTGCAACAACTGCGCCTGCAACGCGCTGCCTTTTCTAATTGCCACAGCCACAGCAGGTAACATTGACAGCTCTCCCTCTCTCTTTCTCTCTCGGTTGAACTTTGCACTTTTGCACAGCAGCCATGCAAAGCTGCAGGCGTATATATATAGTATATATATATATACGATATATAGTATATGGCATCTGGTGTGTATATACAGCTCTGGCAGTCTGGCCTAAATCGTTTTTCGGTAATCTGGCTCAAGGTGCTTTTTTCGAGTGCGGCCGATAACAAAAGCCCATCCCCCTTCCCCACACCCCCTCCCAAAACCCCGCTCAAAGACAAACAATGAACGCACATTTATGTGCCATCATTATATAAGGGAGCTATACTATATAGCTTTATTTTATATATGCACATTGATAAATTCATCTGCAAATGTTTGCATTTCAATTCACAATTAAGAGAGAGCGAGAAAGAGAGAGGGAGGGATGCTGCACGACTGGCTGAATACCCCGCAAAATTAAACAAGAGCTTGTTGTGAAAATAATTAACGATTTCTCCCGAATGCCAGAGTCAATTACAAGTATCCCCTTTTGCGAGTCATCACTGTACCAACAACACATTAATATGCAATAAAAAAAAACTGATGCGTTGTAATGCGGAGAAATCGAGTTCTCATTCCGGGGGAATACCAAGAAAATTGCAACCAAAATAGCTGCTGTGTATTTTAAGCACATTGTTATAAGGTTTTGGTTTTATGTGAACTTAACGGGAGCTCCCGACTAGGGGATACCCTGAACCCTCTTCTTCCAACAGGCGATAGGTATAAAATGAAAGATACTTGATATATATATATACGATTCTAGAAGCTACTTGTCAAGTTTGGTAACTCTAGCTCATATTATTTGCCGAAATTGCTTACTTGAATTGATTACTTGGAAACGGGACAAGTTATCGAATATCGGAAAGAAACTCTGCGCGGGGACTAGGAGGACCTACAGCTAAAATTTCAAGTCTCTAGCTCTTATAGGTTCCGAGATCCTTGACAGACAGACGGACATGGCTAGATCGACTCGGCTGTTGATGCTGATCAAGAATATATATACTTTATGGGGTCGGAGATGCTTCCTTCTGCCTGTTACATACATTTGCACAAATACATAATACCCTTTTTAACCATTTTCAATGGGTTCAGGGTATAAAAATCCTGAGATCGAATAGGCAGTTGGATAACTAGATATATACATATATAGGATATAGTTGGTCTAACAAGGATTAAGAATCTGTTTGGCTTAGTTCTTAATAATATTTATAACTTTTCCTCAAGTAATACTTTATATGCTTGACTTTAAATGGAGTTAGGATCTCTTTGCAATGGTTTCTTATTATACTTCCAACTCTTCTAAAGTAATACCCTATAAAACCCCCCCTTTGAACACCCTGTGAAAGGCGAGTACACATGTTAACCTGTAGATATACTCTATTATTTATCCTAAACAAACATTAGCATGCGTCCAAATACATCCGCAATTAATTAATTTGTGTTGTTTCAAGTTATAAACCAATTATGGCCAAAATGCTTTGAGGGCTTTTGCATACAAATTGTACTTTTAAGCTTTTATGTAATTCATTAGACTCGATTGTGAATTACCCAAGTTGTGATGAATATTTCTTTGTATTTAAATATATTTAATAGCGGGGGGTTTTTTTTCTGAAGTTTAATTGTGAATTAGAGATTTGTAAATATTATAAATTAAAAAGTAACTTCTTTCCCATGGCTAGACGGATTTGCTTGTCTAGCCTGGAACTATTAATTCTGATGACTTGGCAAACACATTTTTCGGAGTTCCAGAATATTTGCACTTGCAAAACTGTCTGACAGTCGCGGAAGCCGCAGATTTGCGTCAGTGTCGGACGTGAATACACAAATGTCAACTTTTTGTTTTTGACAAAAGCTACACAGTTAGTTCATCAAGAAGGTATTTGTGAGGAGAGAGAGAGAGAGAGAGAGGCAGCAAAAATTCGTTTACAATTCGCAACTGGTTAAAGCGCAAAACAGACCAAAAGCAAGCAAGAGATTATATATATTTGTGTATTTATTAACTGCAACTCATTACAAAGATAAAGACTAATAAAACAACTAAACAAACTAGACGAGCGGAATGCAAAGCAATGCATTTGTTGAATATACTATATAAATGCAGCTACTAGTCATATAATACCTTATACTATATGCCCATTTATCGGGCTATTTTAAGACCAAATAATGTGTTGATGATGTGATTTATTTGTTTACAGTTTAAGTTTCAGCTATGCCATGGCACACCCTGTACACAAGTCAAGCGGGTCTGGGCAGTAAATCTAAATTGACAAATATTTACATGCGAGAGAGAGAGAGAGAGAGGGGGAGAGAGCGAGGGGCAGCTGTATGTGCAGGTGTTGTGGCTTTTAGTTTTAGCTGTTGTCCATTCTAATTGCTAATTTTGTAGCCAAAGCCAAGTAGTTGCCAGATATCTGAACCAAACAGGCCTGCAACCACCCCTCGCCCCCCTCCTTACAGGTGTGTGTGTGTGTGTGTGTGTGTGTGGGTGTTGACTTTTGAATGAATTACGTCTCAGCTTGGCTGTGTGCTTGATAAGCGCCGCGCTCGACTGTCTAAAACCTAAGGCAAATAAATGCCGTCAACAAAAAAACTTGGTCATAACGCGCTGCTGCCTCCGTGTGTGTGTGTGTAGAGGTGTGTGTGTGTGTGCGGCTGTGTGTACGTCAGACGATCACATCATCATCAAATAGTTTATATTTTACAGAGATTTAGTTGGGACAGTCGCCCAGTTGCAGCCAAATTCTAGTTGAGGCACACATTACGTATACGCCGCGTGCAGCGCAGCCAAATGTCAAAATGCAAAGGCATTAAATATGAAAGAATGGCACGCCCACCATTTGGACAGCCCACTTTTGGGTTCAGTTTCAGACGCAATAAACCAGCGACTGCTTTTCGACTCAAATTAATGGGAAGACTATGTGATTGTTGTTCAAGTTGTTGTTCAAGTCGTTGTTGTTGTTGTAGTTAAAGTTGTTGTTGTTGTAGTTAAAGTTGTTGTTGTTGTTGCTTCTACTCCTTGGCTTGTTGACGTTGACGTGCCACAGTCAATTATATTATTCTGAAACGCAGTACCATGTTTTTCAGTTCGTTTCTTCGTTCTTGTCGGTTATATGTCAAACTGTTCCCAACTTGAAATGTATTTGCTTCACTGCAATTACGAGGGGAAACGGGGGGAGGGATAAGCTTGAAAATGCACATGACGCGACGCAGTATATCTAATAAGTAACAGACAGTAATTGGTAATTGTTATATAAGTGGCTGCATTATAGAAGTAAATACGAGCTCGAGTAGAACTTGCGCTTTGCTCTTAAATTATTTAACATGAATGTTAACCTTTTGTTGAATTCAGACCGTTTTTGCTTAAATTAAGCGAACTATGCTGAGTACGGCAAAATTCGACAAGGTATATATAAAACAATGTTAAAAATTTACTTTTTCTTCAAAGTACATTAACATGCATGTTTTTTTTTTATTGATTGTTTTGTAGAAGTAAATACAAACTCATTTACTTTGCTGTTAAATTGTTTAACATGAATGTTAACCTTTTGATGGATTCAGACCGCTTTTGCTTAAATTAAGCGAACTATTCTTACGCTGAATGCGGCTTAAGTTAACGAGAGTGTACTTGAGTAAAGGTAAATTTTAAACATGCATGTTAATTTTTTAAGCTTAAAATCGAGCACTTGCATATTCATTTACAAGCTGGAGGCAGTGTATCTGTTCTATCGTTCACAATCTCCTTTTTCTTCAAGTTAATATGAAATGTCAAAAATTTACTTTTCTATAAAGTAAATTAACATGCATGTTAACTTTTGAAGGCTCGTCTCGAGCTTTTTCATATTCATTTACAAGCTGGATGCAGTGTATCTGTTCTGTCGAACACAGTCTCCTTTTTCTACAAGTTAATATGAAACAATATCAAAAATTTACTTTTCTATAAAGTAAATTAACATGCATGTTAACTTTTTAAGGCTCGAATCGAGCTTTTGCATATTCATTTACAAGCTGGAGGCAGTGTATCTGTTCTGTCGATCACAGTCTCCATTCGGCCAACTCTTACGTGTGCCGTTGACTCCCAAGATACTCCCGAGATACTCCCAGCTCGTTGCAGCTGTTCCCCAGTTGGTATTTTGTACGATATTTGTCGCATTTTGTGCTGTATTTTGTTCGCGTTGCAGAAGTTTTGTTTACACTACACGCTCAATCCGCCAAACTGTTGCATAATCAATGCGAAATTTGTCGCCCACATGCCCAAGGACTGCCAAGGACTTATACTAACAGGTCTTGGCCCGCTTCCCCACCAGGCCCATATATGTACACATATATATATATATATATATATATATGGTATATGTGTGCATGCGGTAACTGCGCTTGGCACGAAACAAAATATTACGTATACGGCCTGTTGGCAGTATGTCCTTTGCTGCCTTTTTTGATCTCTGGCCGAAAATAAGTCCATAAAGAGAGACCAAAAGAAAACGTAAGCAACGTGCCACGACATATGACGAGTGCGGGGGAATGGAATTGGGCATGGGCAGGGATTCGGATTCCGATTGGGTATGGGATTGGGATTGGGAATGGGCATAACAAATGACAATGCCAACTTTTTGTACCAGTCAGCGAGCGTTCGATTTGTTTATCTTCGAATTTCGACGCTTAACGTCAACGTCAAACGTGCTTGTTATTCTTTTTTCCACTCTTGTTAATACTATTGTTGCTGTTGTTGTTGTTGTTTCGTTGTTTATATTTATTTTGAATGCGTCATTCGTCGCGGTTTGTGGGCTCGGTCTCAGTCTCGGTTTCAGTTTCCGACTCTTTTCAATCATTAAACACAGTCCAGTCGAAAAACAATCAGAGAGTTAAGTATAGTTCTCTTTGAAAGACAAGATTAATCCAATAATCATCATCATCATCATGATGTCACATTCAAATTGCTGCATTTACGACTGCATTTATAGAATAATAGACACACATTTTGGCCAAGCTATAAACGCATTCATGTCTGGCTCGAACTGACCCCATTTGCCATGTACATATATCCGATAATTGATATCAAAATGAGTCGCTTCTGTATATTTCTCCTAGCACACTCGTCAATTCCTCATATATCCTAGCTAAGCTGCTTACTAATAATTATTATAATCGTTACGACAATCATTTGTATTGAATGCGCACAGTGGGCAAAAGTTGACAAATATGCCGCAGAAATATAATTGAATTAATAAACTGAGCTCTTTTTGAAAATTGACTTCGCATTTTGCTTGAATAAAGTAATATAATTATTTCTCATTAAATTACCAAAAATTGCATTTTAAGCCCACTGTGCCAATACCTAATATTAACAAATAATAAATGTAATAGAGTTATCAATAGCTTTTTGATATCTGAGCGCTTATTGAGCTCTTCGCATACCCTGTAAACAAAGCGTATAGGTATACCCTCTTAAAGTGTACTCAAAAGAGGAGTTGCAAGTTTTTACTTAGGAAAAAAGTGAAAAACTTGCATTAAGAAAATGATATAGAAATCTTTACATAGGAATCAATATGCCCCACAGGTCTGGCACTTACATGTGGACACCTTAAAAGCATTTGATAATTGAACTGCAAAAGCGCATTCAACCGGGGAATAGCTACAGGGTGCACGGGGTGCACGGGGCGCACAGGGTGAATATGTTATTGAATAAACAAAGTGCAAAGTACATGTGTACAGAGTCTAGTGTTCGTTTATGGCATTGAGCAAATGGTAAATAACAGGGTATGGGTATGGGCGGGGGAGTTAAGGACAGAGGCTTCTCTAGCGCTGACAATTAATCAGTTATGGTGGTATATGTGGGTCATGCGGGGTATATTTGAGGTATGTGGGGCATGTTTGCGGCTGTCATACACCACCTGGGCTACTAGAATATGAAGCTAGGCCTTGGGTTTCGCCTATTGGCTCTGAGTTCTGCACCCACACACACACACATATATATATGTACACACACTTATCTACATTAAGAGAATTTTATCGTTTTATTTCCATTGCATTGCGCTGCACGTAAAACAGACAAGATTTGAATGCTAAGCCTAAAATAACTGCACATTTCTCCCATTCTTAAGCCGCATTCTTTGACGGCGTCCACTTACAGTTAGTTTGTTGTTTTGCTCTCTCTATCTCCAATGCTGCTTCAGCTGCTGCGGCGGCGGCGGCGGCTGCTGCAGAATTGGACAGCAAAACCGTTGCACAAGCCTTGAAGGTTACGTTTTGATACGTTACCGACACAGATGCATGTGTGTGTATGTGTGTTTTGCAGTAATTCTTGTATATGTATGTGTGTGCGTTACTGTGGCTTCGGCTTCGGCTTTGGCTCTGTGCCTATCGAGCCCAACAAAACTTCTATTGTATAACTAAAATGCAGGCACAAGTAACTGGTATATTGGTAAAGATCTATAGAAAACGGAACTTGTAAAGAATTGCCTTCAAAACTGCACGCACATAAACGGCTTTGGTGACTTTTGCAAAATGAAAACACCGAAAAGAAAAGCCAGCTCCATCAAAAATTTACACACAGGCACACGTACGCGAAGTGTGCGTGGAGGAGGGGGTATGAGTAAAATGAAAATGCGGCAGTCAGTGTTAGGCGCGGTGTGTGTATGTGTGTCAGGTAACTCTACGAGTGTGTATATATATGCATGTGTGTGTGTGTGTGTGTGTGTGTGTGTTAAAATGAAAACTTGAATGCTTTAGCTTAATTTTTACGCACTTTTCTCAATGGATACAACTCGTTTCACAATTTACGCACTTCCCAGCACTTGATGCCTAGTTGCTTTTGTTTTTTCCTTCGTTTGTTTCGCACTTTTTGTTGCTTTATTGCCTTAACTTTACTTTGTGCACTCTTTTTTTATGTTGGTGTTTATGTGTGTGGTTTTTAGTGTTTTGTGTGTGTGTGTGTTGCAAATTAACTGGCGTAAACTCGTTATCTCTGCCCAACGCTCGTCACGAATTCACGTTCGACACTAAAAGCTCGGGCTTAGACTTCTTGGAGCTAGAGGCATTCAGCGCTAAAAAACGAACAAACAGGGTGACCGTTGCGTTGCTTAAGATAATGTCTAAAATAAATACCAAAACACAAGTGCTGCATGACAAAAGCTGATTGCCTTCGTCTAGCTACCGCTGGCAAAGCTGTGTGGCTATGTGGCGCGCAAATGTGAACAAATTTGAATTTGCCTGAAAACTGTTTGGAATATTTATGCCAAAAACAACTATTCGAGCAGTGTTATAAGTGCTGATTATATAAGTTACAACAATTTAATCAAAATGCATAAATCTTGCTGACGGGGCAGCAGAGGATTTGTCATATTTTATATTTACGGGCCACTTATCACTAACACAGCCGGGTTCGAGCCACTCTAAGTGCAAAGACCGCCTCGAATGATACGGACTGTTGTTGGTGTTATTGTTTAGGCCAAACTAAACATTATACAATAAACAAGCAAATTAAATGTTTCGAGCGGAGAGTGAAACCAGCCTTGGTAGAAACAGGCGAAAGTGAATCCCAGCTGGAGATGAAGATGCAGCTGCAGTTGGATCATAGGCCGATGCAGTTTGTTGTCATAATCAACAGATGTTTGGACTAAAAAAAAAAACTCCAATTGGAAAGGAGGAAGCACTTCTCGCAAACACACCGTAACCAAACGGTAAATGGCCAATGGCCAGCCAGAGAGAGATTGTCGCACGTTCAACATACATAAATAAATAAATGCAATTTGTAAATTATATTTTGTTTATTGTTTTTTTTGTTTGTATTTTTCGTTGGTTTTTATACTTTTTAGGTATTTTTTGTTTGTTTTTATTGAAATTCCTTAGATCGCAAGAAGCGCACAGATGTAATATGTATATGGTAAATTGTTGTTGTTGTTGTTGTAGATACATACATAATAATTAAGATTATTTATATAATATATATATATATATGTTTACATACAAACAAACGTGTGTATATATTGTAATATGTAAGTAATATTTATATATAGTATATATTGGTTGCGTGTGTGCTGTGCCTGTGTGTGTGTGTGTGTGTGTCTAGTATGCTTGTGTGTGTGTGTGTGTGTTTTAATTAGATATACATATATAGTAGAGTATAGCATAATATAATTAGGCATAATTATAATATTATATACAAATCTCAATAGATTGTTGATTGATTTGATTTGATTTTTGTTTTGATTTTTTTGTTTTTTCAATTTACATTTTAAGTTGGATTTTTGTATAAATTTAAATTTACGCGCTATTTTCTCAAAAATGTCGGTTTTTTGATTTTTTTGATTTTTTTGTTTTTTGTTGTTTGATTTCTTGTTGTAATTTTTCTCTACACACTTACAGACTATTCGCTCTATTTATCATCATCAGCATGAAAGATCAACAAGCATTCGCGCTCTTCCTTCGCTTTCTTATAGCTACTAATATATATATATATATATATATACGTGTGTGTATGTATATATATAATAAATTTATATATATATATATATATATAAAGACATGCAGCCAGTTTGTGAGCAAAGTTAAAATTTTTCACAAAAACTTGTGAGTTGTACGAGTTTTCTTTTTTTTTTTTGGTTTGGAATACATGTTCTATATATATATATATACACACACACATACACACATTATATATATAAACATCGATCAGTTTTACATAATATTTTAAACTAAAATTAATACAGTACAAATTCAAAAACAAAATTCACTCAACGCTATGCGAAAAAAAAAGTGTTACACAAAATGAAAACAAATTGAAAATGAATATGAACGCAAATTATGTTAAGTTAACAGTGTGAGATTTAACAGCAACACTGTTAACCGTTTACAGTTAACAGCTAACACATTTACAGAGGAAACATAGCATAGCATAAGCAATTTTGTGTTGGACTTAACATTTTTTTTGTCTTTTACCGAATATTGCTTTCAAACAATATTCAATTTATATGTTATATATATGTGGTCACATTGCATGCGCTGTAGTTGAATTATTACAAGTATTATTTATAAATTGTATATGTTATATTAGATGCACATATATGTATATATTGGTTATATGTGTGTATATCAGTTGAATCATTCATAAATTATCACCCAGCAGTTTTTTAACAAACGAACAAAGCCAAAACAGTCACTCAATCACAATGCATGACATCAATCAATCCAATCAATCAATCATGTTGCTGCTGTTAAACTTCACTAGATACCATTAGTTTTACATTTAGTTATGATTATTTTGTATATCAACTAAAGTTCTACACGGTTTTACAGTTTTACAGTTTACAGTTTTACAGTTTTACACGCATAATTTTATTTATATATATGTATATTTATTGTATAAAAAAAAACACTGAAAATATTTTAGCAAAGTTGCCTTCTTTCATACACTCTCCCATTCATTTTCGTCTCTCTTCTGTTTGCTGCCTTTATAAAATTGTTAAGTAAAAAAATTGTTTGTTTTTCGTTTTTTTTTTTTAGAGATTTTGATTTGCGTTTTTCCGTCTGACATGCTTCATGTTAACTTTTGCAAGCTGCTTGTAAATGTCTATCATATTGTGTGTGTTTTCAGTATTTCTTAACCCATTGAGCAACGTCTTACGCTGAGATACATTTAGTTTCGGTCTGTTTTTTTGTTATTTTTCGTCAATAACTGCACTGCTATTACCAAGAAAAAAAAGATTGTACAGTACTTAAGAGTCGAACAGTTTACAGTTAAGAGTTAACGAGTTAAGTTTTAAGAGTTACAGCTAAGAGTTACCATTAATGTTAAATCATATACAATATATAAATACAATGTTTTACTTTGCATATTATGTCAACTTTCTGACGGCTAAAATTTGACTAATATTTAGTATATATAGATATATTTTTTTTTTATTTACATGTCATCATATCTGCCTTGTAATTTGATTGATTTTTTTTTTTGTAGTATTTTTTGTGATAAGTATTTTTTTTAAAAAATATATATATTTGTATGTAGTTATATTGTATTTATTATATGTATATAGTTAGATATAAGTATATATATACGTAGATATTTTGCTTGGAATTTCTATGCGGCGGCACGAAGGCGGCTGCGCTTATTGCATAAACGAACAAATTCAAAAATATATTATAAAATAATTATGAGGGGGGGGGGGTGTAGCTGGATGATTCGTGGTTAACTGCAAGCCAAACTTACAACTGAGCTGTAAAAAATAAGTGTGTTTAACAATAAGAACAAAATGAGTTTTTTTAGTGTGTTGCGCCGCAATTTTAACTATTTTTTTTATTACAAAATCAAATCTTAAACGTGTGCGAGCAGGAAGTTTTGGGTGAAGGGGGGTAAAAGGGGGGGGGGGGGGGTTGTGTTTAAAGGGTTCTTTATCTTTTCTCTTTTACTTTTTCGTTATTTTTTGTTTTTTTTTTTTGGTGCAAAAGGGGGCTATCAAAAAATGGAAGTTAATAGCAAAATCGATAAGAATTACGTGTGTGTGTGGGAGTGTGTGTGTGTGTGTGGGAGTGTGTGTGTGTGTGTGTTTTCGTATACAAGTAGAGTTCTTTTGAGTTGGTTGGTTTTTTTTAGCGATACAAGAAAATTTTTTTTAAGCGACGCACAAAGAAAAAATTAAAAAAAAAAAAAAAATCTGGCTATTATTTGTTGCTTGTCATATAATGTGTGTGGGAGTGTGTGTGTGTGTGTTGGTGTGTGTGTAGATTTGTCCTGGTTTGTAGGCAAAGTGAATTTGCTGTTGGATCTTTCTTTCTTGACTTCACTTTCATTCCTTGTTGGCCATCGCGACTTTTGCTCCTTTAGCTCCTTTTGCTCCTTTAGCTCCTTTAGCTCCTTTAGCTCCTTTAGCTCCCGGCGCCCGCCCCAAACAGCGGCTCTTCAGTCAAATTAGTTGAAACTTGGCTTAGTGTGTGTATGGTGTGTGTGTGTGTATGGTGTGTGTTGTGGTGTGTGTTGTGGTGTGTGTGCTTAGCTACATCATTAACATCATGCTCAACATTTTGCAGCAACAATTGTGTGGTTTCTTTTCTTTTCAGGTGAGAGAGAGAGAGAGACGGAGAGTTTTCGTCGAGTCTTTAGCGTGCGTACAAAAATGTATAGAAAAAGGAACAACAGGATATATATATATATATATATATATGTAGATATATGTGTGTATATATATATCGATATATATATATATGACACGTTTGTACATCTAAAGGCCCGTCTTGCAGTTAGCCCGGGCATTCTGCTTTGTTGTAGTTTTTTTTGTAAGTTTTTTAGATTTTTAGATAAATTGTTGTTGTTGTTGTTGTTGTTGTTGTTGGGCCATTGTCACATTTAAATATGAATCCTCGCCGAGCAGCAGCAAACTTGGCGGCGAACCGTCGTGCGGATAGAAATATGCAAATTGGCCGCTGTAGCTGCCCAACAGCAACTGTTGCTGCTGCTGCTGTTGTTGTTGTTGTTGCTGTTGTTGCTGTTGTTGCTGCTGCTTGTTCAGTTTGTAGACTGGCAAGTTGTTGATCTGCTGCTGCATCAGCACCAAGCTGCCCGTGGCTGCCACATCCTCATCCTGCGCTCTGCTAATGTTCTTCTTCTTGCTGTTTATATTGTTAAAGTGTGCTAGTTGTTGCTGCTGTTGCTGCTGCTGCTGCTGCTGCTGTTGTTGCTGCTGCTGCTGCTGTGGCTGTTGCTGCTCCAATCACGTGCTCAGCCAGGTGGAATTGCAGGTGCAAATGGTGCTGGGTATCACAGGTGCATAGTAAACGCCATTCGCATAGATCAAGCCCGGCGGACCCGCCTGTATCTGTATGGTCTGCGGCGGCGGCGGCGGCTGTGCCACCTGTCCATCAACAGCAACGGTTGCTGTTGTGTTCGCTGCCGTTGCCGCGGGCGATGTTGCTGCCGCTGCTGCTGCTGTCGTGTTGCTGCAGCAAATTGTGGCACTGGCCGGCGCTGCCTGTTGCACGTAAATTGTTTGCGTCTGCGGCGTCTGCTGCGACGACGTTGTCGCGACCAGCGCCAAGACAGGCGGCGACTGCGCCGGCTGCGGCTCCAGTTGCTGCTGCTGCTGCTGCTGCTGTTGCTGCTGCTGCTGCAGGTATACGGCATGTTGCTGATGATGATGATGGTGATGATGATGTTGCTGCTGCTGCTGGTGATGATGTTGCTGCTGTTGCTGCTGCTGCTGCTGCTGCTGCTGGTGATGATGATGTTGTTGCTGCTGCTGCTGCTGCTGCTGATGATACTGTTGCTCCTGCGCCTGCTTGACCTGCTGGGCCAGCGTGTGGATGAGCAGCAGCGTCTGGCGGCGCTCGTGTCCCATCAGACAGACGGTTGACATTTCGACAACGTTATATAAATACATGAGATACTCATATTGCAGCGGCTCCTCCTCGATGCCCCAGAAATGATTGCGCAAATATGCCTCCAGCTTGGTGGTCTGTGTGCTTATATCGGGAAAATCGATAAAGAAACGCGAGCACATGTAACGCTCCAGAGTTTTGATCAATTGCGAATCGACGGCCGTATAGTTGCGCACCAATAGATTACAATATTTTAATAGACCACCGCCGCGTATCTCCTCCGGCTGGCGCGTTGAGATCAGTTTCTTTTGCAAATGATACAGTGCCTCCTGGAAGTCGCCGTAGACCGATTCGCCGACAACGGTCGGATAGAAATTCTCGGATATGGGCAAGGCGGCGCAATCGTAAAACAGCAACAACGAGTCCAAGACAATTTGGAATGAGTCCACGGAGAATTCGAATTGACGGCGCATTGTATCGACGAATTTGAGCTCGACATTCTTGTGGCCGGGCGAGTTGCCCAGCGAGATGAGGGACCAGCGATCGCCGTCGTTATTATTGTTGACCTTGACCATTTTGCCGACATAGGCCTCCTTGAGGCTGCCCGTGTAGATGCGGCGCTTGCAGACGCCCTCGGGCATCAGGTCGAGCAGCGTGTTCAGCACGGCGGTCTTGACCCGATCGAAGACGCGCGGTGAGCTCAGCTCGATGGCAAAGATCAGGTCCAGATCGTTGTACGGCTGATCCTCGCTGGCCAGCACATGACTAGCTGCGCCGCCGTTTAGTCGTATATCCTTAACTAGGACACCAGCGCCGCCGGTATTGACGTCTGCCTCCAGTTTGCGACGCACCAGATTCACCAGATCCTTCAGTGTCACTTCCAGTGTTGGAAAATTGCCGCGTCCATGTATGGCCACCTTCTCGTCCATGACGCTGTGCAGCTTGCGCACCTGCTCGAACGATAACACCGCCAGCCGTTGTGTTCCCCCAGTGTCGACGCTCTCCAGCGAACCGTGGTCCGAGGTCGAGGCTATCGAGGATCCGGAACTGGGCGACGGCGGCGGTGTCTCGGTACCGCCATCCGAATGGAAACCATCATCGATCTGATAGACGTCCATTCTGTTGTTGCGCTGCTGATGAAATAACGGTTCGGCGGCTCCGTCTAGTGTCCCGCACTGCGTGAAGAAAAGGGAAAGAAAAAGTAAAGCTTTTTAGTAAATTGGCAATTAAAAAAGCATATAGTTTATCTGAGAGCGAGAGGCAATAAGAGATGTTGAGCTTTAAGCGAGCACATTTCGCAAAGCTTTCAGGCGCTTTCAAAGCTTCTTGCTTAAAGCTTTTAGAATTTGTGGTAAGACTCTCGCTCAGCTTTATATATTTTTATATATCTGCTTTCACATCTTTATAAATAAAAGAAGGTAAACATTTGTAAAATTCACTTAAAGCTTTCAGGTGCTTTCAAAGCTACTTAAAAGCTGTTTGGGTAAATATTGTTTAAGCCTTTGTGAACAATTTGTGTCAAGACCCACACAAAGCTTTATAGATGTTTATATATCTGCTTTCACATACCTTTATATACTACATGAAGCTCGTTTGTAGGAGCTTTGAAAGCTCCTTAGAAGTAAGGCAGCTAAAGCCAGAGCTAGAGCTAGAGCATCGAATATAACGTCTATTTACTTGATGATACTTTCTATCTAGCCAATGAGCATGCACTCAATAACTCATTTAAGTTGCTTACTTAAATGTCATAAAGCTCCATCAAGCTTTAAGCTTTAATAAGGATCGCCTAAAGCTTTCAGGTGCTTTCAAAGCTACTTAAAACGCTCTTTGAATACTTTATAAATGCACAAAGCTTGTTCAAAACTTTCAAAAGGTGTATTTAGAACCGCGCAAGGCTTTACATATGTTTATATATCTGCTTTCGCATATCTTAATTTAATATCCTTAAGCTTCACCAAGCTTTAAATCACTTTTTAAGGCTAATCCTAATATCTTTTCTGCTTAAATCTTGAGTTCATTTTTATTCAACTCGCATTAGTCACAGTTTAGATGCTTTTCTTAATAAGAAAAATAGGTGCTTAACAAAGCTTTAAATCACTTTTAGCGCTTATCTTTACATCTTTTTCGCTGTCATTTCTAAATTCTAGTTAAAAACACATTTTGTTGTTATTTGTACAATTATTTATTTAGCTTGTTTTTGACATTTTATTGCGCCAATGCCGCCAAATTGTTGAAAGCAACCCACCACCGGGGGCTTCTTTTAATTAATTAATTTGCTTTAAATTTGCTCAATTTTCGCTTGATGTGTGGAGGGAGGGAGGGGGGAGAGGAGATCCCCCCTCGCCCACACACACACACGTTCACCAAACTTTTGCGCTGCTCGCATTTTCCCACACATTTATTATGTTGTTGTTTTTGTGTTGTTAATTTATTTGTTTATTGTTTATTATTGCCTGAACGTCTCTCTCGCCGTTTAACGTTTCCCTCTGCGCACTGGGCCAAAAAAATGTTCGGTCTGCCTTTCAATGTGACACAGAACTAAATATATTCTTTCAACTGGCGTTCAAAATTTCCGCGTTCTGTTATCGACCAGCTCCTCCCTTCGCCTCTTCTCGGTTTTCTTTGCCCCCCCCCCCCCCTCCTTTGTTCTTTCGCCTTTTCCCTGCTGCTTTTCGGCCGTTTAGCTCTGGCTATCAACTGTGCTATCGGCATATGGGTCTCGGTCTGGGTCTGGGTCTGGGTCTGGGTCTCGGTCTGGGTCTGGGCTATGCCTATTTTGTATCTATCGCTTAGCTCTATCATTTATTTTTTTCTTTCTTTCTTTTTTCTTTATTCTTTTCTATTTGCATTTGCGTGCGCCTGTTACTAGGTTGTGCGTTTTGTTTGTGTCGCTTTTATTTTATCTTTCACAAAAACAAAAATTATATTTTCAAGCATAACTAGCTGAAAGTATCTGTGTGTGTGTGTGTGTGTGTATCTGTGTGAATGTATCTGATATGCTGTGCGTTTGGGCTGCGTGCAAATATTCGGACTGCCATAAAACAATTCAAATGGATAATTGCGTGCCCCTTAGTGATGCGTATGATTCACGCGTTTCACACACACACACACATACATACACACACACATACGCACTTACAAGCCACCTAAACTCTGTGTTTACACGTGAGCATATCGCAATTAACCTTGATTCAAAGTTTGTGACAAAATTTAACATTATTTTGTAAGCTTCTATATCTTTCTTGAATATTATGGTAGGTTACGCTGGAAGCTTTCTAGTTTTGAACCCATTGAAAATGAGTAAAAAGAGTAAGATTCTGGATATCCCTTAGTCGTGCTCTCTCGACTAGAGCTCTCTTACTAGTTTTAATTATAATTAACTATATTTATCTATTGTCTTAAAGCCGAGTGTAAATAAATATCTGTTTCTTCCTTTCTATCTGTTCGTCTTATCCCACACGTTGTAAATATTTGTTTTGTATTCTTTAAAGATTTTCTTGCGTTCCAATTTTTATCCAAATATTTATCATGATTAGCAGTTTTCATTTTGATAACTTCCTTGCTTAACAGAGTTTTATCTCCGGCATTCTTCCGCACACTTTTTCCATTTCATTTAATCCAGAAATCGTTATACTTATACAATTCACATACGTCGGAACACGCTGTGGTTTTTATCGTGATATACTATATATGCTAATGATAATGATAAACATGGAAATGCAGCTAAAAGCGAAAGGGCAAATAGAAGAGCGCAAATAAAAACAACTCAAATAGATGACGCATAGATTGTAATTCAACAAATCCATCAATTAGCGTAGTTGCACTTAGTTCACTTGGCTTTATGACTGTATAATACAAATAACACTATTGTCTGAACTTTTGAAGTTTTTAAAGAGCTGTTTTTAATGCAAATTTATGCAATTCTGGGCAGTTCTCTCAATGCACATCAATTAAATTCGGAGCCAAGTTCTTGCTTCTTTAGAGATATCGTGATAACTTTACAACGTATAAACTCGCAATGCAATTCCTGACCAAGTTCTCGTTTCTTTAGAGTTGTCGCTAAAACTTCGCAGACAAGTTATTGTTTCTTTAGAGATTTCATGATAACTTCGTTTCCCAAGTGATTTTCTTTGGAGATTTCGTGATCATTTTGCAACGTATAAACTCGCAATGCAATTCCTGACCAAGTTCTCGAATCTTTAGAGTTTCTTTAGAGATTTCATGATAACTTCGTTTCCCAAGTGATTTTCTTTTGAGATTTCGTGATAACTTTGCAACGTATAAACGCGCAGTTAAATTCCAAACCAAGTTCTTGTTCCTTTCAGAGATTTCGTGATCCTTTCGCAACGTATAATAAACTCTCAGTTAAATTCCTAACCAAGTTCCTGCTCCTTCAGAGATTTCCTGATAACTTCTTAATCAAGTTCTTGTTTCTTCTAAGATATCGTGATTACTTCGCCACGTATAAACGCAAAAACGTAACTGCAAACGATTTTAGCGCCAATTCTCTGAGGAATTGAAAAAGCCTTTTTGTGCTCATCTTGAGAATTGAGGCGTGGGCTAGTTTTATGGGTTATTATTAATATCATTTTTGAGATGACTTGCAATAAGACTGCATACACATACATACACATATATATATAAGTTTATATATATATATATATGGTTAGGGCAATTATTTGTTTATTAATTGCCTTGTGGTCGCGCTGTCTGGCCTGGCATTTATTATATTTAATTGTAATTTGTAATTGTTATTGCATTTTCATGAGGCAACTCTAAAAAACACAGCACAAATTTTCTATCTATTTTTTACGGTTTTACAACAACAAACACGTTAATTAAGCGCACATTTCATTAATTTTGTGGCTTATATCAAGTGTAGTTAATTTCTTTCGTAACTTCTTGTCATAGATTTCATATTCGAATTGGCTATAAAAGTGTCTAAATTGGCTTTTTACTTTCTCCGCTTAAGCACATAATGTACAACATAGTTTTTTTTTTTTTTTTTTTTTAAATAAATTAACACAATTAACACACATTTTTGTCAGTTTTTTGTGGCACGTTTTAAAATTACGTTTCTAACACACATTTTATGCAATTGCATATTTTTAATCATATTTTTTTTTATTAAAAAAATCTTCTGACACCGTTTTTTTCATTTTTTTTTTGGCAAGAAATATACAATTTACTTTTTTTTCAGATTTCAGATAAGGCCTGCTCGTAATACTTTTTTCTTTAATTGGCTGTGATAAACGGCAAAAAAAAACAAAATAAGCGAAAAAAAACTATTTTCGCAGTTTGGCATTTACCACTTTTTTTTTTCTTTTTTTTTGTTTTTTTTTTTGCGAATTTCACAATACATGCAATGTATTCGTTGAACCTTTTTCGCAGCCGTACATACAAACATACAGACATACAGACATACATGCATACATGCATAGACATGTACATATACGTGTGTTTACGTGCGCGTGTGTGTGTGTGTACTTTTTCCACAAATAATAAATTAACGCTGCAATTTTCACCAATTTCTTCTCGGCATTTATTTTGCTGCTCATTATTATTATGAATGTTTCAACTTCATTATATCCTAACATGATCATAATTATGTTGTTTGGCTGCAGTTGCAATGCACAGCGACAAACACACACATACACACATACTGTCATATATATACATATGAATATGCTGCCAGATTTACAGCTAGAGAGAGAGAGAAAGAGGGAGCGAGGGGGAAGAGAGCGAGAGAAAGAGACACGCAAACAGGTGTATGGTCTATGGCGTGCCTGCTGGCCTAGACAGACTTGCGACTGGTCTCAAATAAAAGTGAAAACCGTTGTTTTTTCTTTCTACAGCAGCCGCAGCAGCAGAGAAAAACAACAACAACAACAACAACAACAACAACGCATGCAGAAAGTCTTTGCAAAGCAAAGCTTAAACAAGTGTAACTTAGCAGCTGCTGTGCGTGTGTGCGCGTGTGTGCGTGCAATGTCCAAAAACGCAAAAACAAATATGGATTCCGTGTAGAAGAAGCAAAAGTATGTTTGGCCAGTGCTTGGTGAAGAAGAGGGTGAGTGGGGGGGTTGGGGTAGGCAGCAAATTACCGTTTTTATTCAAAAAACAAGCGAAGACGACGCACCCGCGACTGTTGCTTTGACTTAGTTTTTGCTGCTTT